GCAGTCGTCCAGAGACACGCGACCACCTTATCTATGTATTCTGCACCGGGACGGGCCTTCGGTTCCCGCGGGGAACGCTTCTCCGCGGAGTGAATGATACCATCAAACAGCACGATGGTGACTTATCTGATTCTAAACCTCTCGCTGCTGCTGGAGATAAAAAGGTAATCGGGTTGTTGATCATGATATGATATGGACCTTCTTATCCGGGCGTTCTCTCTCTCGTTTGCTTTTTTCCCCCTCGGACCCTCTCCTCTTTAGACCTATGTGCGGCTGGGTAGTTGTCCATAAATATGTTCAGGTTTTCCTGATCCGCTGCGCGGGTTCCCTTTCACCTCGTCGCTTCTGCACCCCTCCTCGCACTTATCGGTTGCTGACCGGTGAGCAGCGGCCCAATTCAAATCGAAAAACACCCTCGGGAGTTTCCAACTCACCTCGCCTTGACCGGTCCAGATAGCATCTCATCTGTCGACCCAGGTATAGGGTTTCTCGAGCCCACTAACTCGCAACTCGATTGGCGCCGAGTGTAGTCCACAGGCCGTCTCGTGTCTGCGCCCGACGTCACTTTTCAGACCACACCTCGACCGAATGTTCTATCGACGAAGGATCAATGACGGCACGAACTCTTTCGAGCCCCTTTCGATGCGGCCCACCCATCCATACTGAAGTCGCCTTGGCAACTTGAAAGGGATGGTTTTGATAACGATACGAAAACCCCTTCATCGATGATATGGAAGCTAGAGGACAGATATATCCTATGGATACTCGATGGCCTTCCCCAGAATATATGCTGGACCGCTCTCATCTCCCAAGTGGGTTTTAGAGAAGACAAGCGAGACCACACCCACATATGAGATGTGATAAGGTCCAAGATCGAGAAGATGTTCCTACCGAGAATGACAAGGCCCCGAACTCCACTCGCACACAGAACCGGTAGTCGATATCCAGAAGCAGACGGGAACCTTGTATCTGGAAACGGCTAAGGTCTTGAGCGCGTCCACGTTTGGTTGGTGTCCCACTAGCCTTCTGGCCATATCTCCTCTTGGACGGCCAGTAGATCCAACAAAGTGGCACAGGAACCCATCCTAAGCTCGACTTCTGTTTTCCGTCCCTTCATCTGTTCCTATCGATTATCCGTCAAGAGGCCCGGATCTAGAGGAGGATTAGAACCCCCCGCCTCTTCCGAAGGACTTACTTGAAATTCCGAAATCAAGAATCCACTGACGGTCCACTGAATCGATCTTCATCAAGCTCGGCCCGGAAAGCCTACAAGAACGAACGAGTACCCCCGCCGAAGTCGTACAGTCGGATTGAAAGTCGCGAGGAAAGGGCTAGAACCGAGAGTCCTCGGATATGGGTGCAGACATCTCTCACCGCATCGCCAGTCATAGTCCGGCACCCGACGGCGAGATTACCCTAGTTGGAAGGAAAAACAGAAAAAGTTTTAAATTCTCCGCGGAGGTCCCAAAGCTCGGTTTTCCGCCAAGCTCTGGGGACCCAATAAACAGGACCGGCCATCGGCGTTCTTAGGCTGTGGTTGACAAGAATTGGCGTCTCGAGCGGGGGAGACGAGGTTCTGAGCAAAATGCTGATGGCGTCGAGAGATGGGATTGGTCAGTTTGGGCCATCTTGATCTTATCAATCAAGGTGCATCAAGGCTAAGCTCGATCGGTTTGAGAAGAGTGGCATTGTCAGGTGGTATGATGGAGACAGCCTGTTTGCTTGCCAAGACCAAGGATTAAACAGATGAATTGTTCAAAGGAGGAGGAATTGAGTGTACGAAGCAGGAATATAAAGGATTTTCCGTAGAAATAGACAGCGTTTGGCGCCTGATTGAGCACGATGTTTGCAATCCACAGGAGCATTGATCACTGATCCGAGACACCGCCTACTTCCGCTGTTTGAAGTGACGCAAGATCATACACTTACAGAGCCCTTCCGCAGTAAATTGAAGCGCTGAAAGAGCTCACATGAGCCCACCTGTGCACGCTCTAGGCGCCCACCCCCGCACTCCAAGACTCTAACCTCCCCGAGCTCCGAACCAACCCCGCGCAGTGATTCCGAATCCGGTTCGTCTCATGACTGGGGTCTACGATTGACCGCAGGACCCAACAATCCTCTGACCGAAGCCTTGTCCTCCCTGAACACCGCTCTTTTCACAATCCTGTGGTTGCAAACTCCGACCTTTCCCTCTTCTCATTCCCTTCATCACAGCAGACCCAACTCTGTTCTGAGCTCTCTCGAAATCACAACTTCCCTCCAAGGGAAAGGGTTCCTAGCTTCGAGCCGGTCTTAGCCGCCGTTAACAAAAGCACAACAAACGCCCAACACCGCTAAACCACCAAGATGAAGTCCCTCCTCGCCCTCGCCGTCTCTCTTCCTCTCCTCCTCGCCTCTCCCACCCCACTCGCCAACTCCAATGACGCCCCCGCTCCCGGCCACCGCATCCCAACGGCCCACGAATCCGCCGTAATGGGTCGCCGCATGCTCGCGCTCTCCAAGCTCGCCGACTTCGCGACCGTCTTCCCCTCTCCTTCCTCCTCCGATGCAGAACCCGCCACCGCATTCGGGCGTCGTCCCGAGGGCCTCGAGGGCCTCCCCATCGACATGATGGACTACATCGCCGACTGTGAAGAAGAGGGCAACCCCACTGTTCTCAACATCAAGATCGCCACCACCTTCCGCAACGCGGCGGCCGGCTCCAACGTCTCGCTCTCCCTGCGCTGGATCCCGCCGTACCCGCCCGCGCGACGCATCCCCGTCACCTTCTGGGAACGCGTCTCGGGCGCCGTTTCGGTCCTCCTAGGCACTGCTGCTGCCGATGATGCCGGCAACGCTCCCGATACCGTCCCTTACAGCGCGGCGAACTTGCCTCGCGTGAGCTTACTGGGCCACTTCGAGCCGATCCATCCCGATGAGACGTCTCACGCTAGTCTGGCCATGTGCTTCGTGAGAACGCACCCGGATGCGAAGTATTGGCTGCCTGGAAACGTCATTCACGAGTCGTCTTGGGCTAGGCTCGTTGTTGAGCAGGTGTATTGGGTTGGTGGATTTGGCGATCGGGCGTACATTGGCTGGATTCCTGTCGAGGAGTGGAAGGGTGTGACGAGGGAGGAGTGGGAGTCGATTAAGCTGCCTGGCGAGGAGAGGGGATGGAAGGAGTGGTCGATTGAGGAGCTTAGGGAGTGGGATCTGTAGAGGAGAGTGGTGTGGTGTCCGAGGTGGGCCGGTGTTAGCCAGTATCGAGTAAGTAATCGGCTGCATGTGTGATGACAAGAATTCAAGGCAATGGGGTTATGAACTTTGGTGGCGTTCGCAACGTTAGCATACACTTAAACTTGACCACTTGGAGGAAAGAGGCAGGGTGGAAGAGAAACACACTTTATAATTGTCCACGACGTGTTGATATTTTTATATTCAGAGCAAATCCAGACTGTTACTCATTACACAAATAGAGCCAATAACCTGTGAGTTCGTTTTTCGTATCGTGACTTTTGCCCGCTTGTGCAACATCGTATGCACCCAGTGCAAGACTCGACCGAGAGAATCAAGAGCAAATTCCCTCCAGCCTCCTCACATTCTCTGGCCACTACCTAGCCATGCCGCCAAACGAGAGCGTTCACATTCTTCAAAGCACATCGTCCAAAGACCCCCAAAACGAAATCTATCGAAAGGTAGGCCGGGGCACCCTTAGAGGCCTTCGGAATAGTATACCCTTCAGCTCCGGCGTTTCTTTTTCGGGGGTAACGGGTTTCCCTGTCCTGACAGAATACTCCGAGTGATGACAGTACTACCAAGGGGTGAGCGTAGACCGTCAGTTCTAAATCGCAATCAACATTCCGGGGCCACAAATATAGCATATCAGAAGTCATGATGGAAACGGTTCTGCATCTAGGACCCTATGAGGCGCCCCGGGGTAGCCCATCCACCAGCAGGCACCGGGCGGGTGGAGTTCCAGCGACCGTGAGAACTGGCGGTGGTTTCTTCTCATCAGTCGTTCTTTCCTCGCGTAGAACCCCTTCGGCCCTCTTAGAAACCCAGTGCGGAGCTCAGTGGCAGTCACGAGTCGTAACAATGATCGCCTCGAGGGACAACAAGGACTATGGGAGACAATAGACCAGCTTTTTGAACACCATTAGCCTCAACGGCGGGTGTATTGCGGTGATTCCCTAGAAGACGTTTTCCTCTTCATTCGGCTGGTGAGAAAAGAAATGGATAGGCCTCCTTGTTCAACCCAACTCTGTGTGAGCACTAAGCCGGCTGAACAACTCAAACTCCATCCTCTCAGCAGCCCTTGGGCCGCTCATGATGTCTCCCATGATATTGGAACCGGGAGGAAAGCCATGCTCGAAAATCGGTTCCCCGACCCCTCTCATGCGAGCGAGTCAGTGTTAGGCCTCTAAGGAGAGTGGATCGATCTTGGAGATTGTAGATGAAGACATCTCGAGGGAGTTCTCGAATTCCAGCGCCTGGCATCTTGGCTGGCTGAAGATAGGTAGAGGACTAAAGAGACAGTAGCAACACACTTGATGGGGAAGGAATAAGTAGTTCCAAGATGGGTTCAATGAACCACAAGCCTAGTCTATCAAACCCACATGCATCAAGAGGAAATTCTATTCTATCTCAATACAATATACTTCGTAAACCTCACCGGGTCCCACATGACAAATCTCCCAACTCATCTCTGGGAAGGTGATACCTGCGAAGCAATGTTTTGAGTTTTGAGGTCTTCACTCACTCTGCTATAGATCATCAAAGTGAGAAGAAAAAGAAAAAAAAAAAAAAGACTTGGATTGAATGCTCCATGTATTATTTCTCATCACATAACCTCATAACTCATTATCTCAATCTTGTCCGTCAGAAAACAAGACACTTTTTTCGCAGCTGATAACGTACAATAAACATACTTCCACCTCGATGGTCCCAGTAACTCCCGTGAAATGCGTTCCATAAAACTTCAGTTTCGGGTCCACTCCCCCTTTTTCTCCCCCCTCTCGACATTAATCGACCCTAATCACAACCTTCCAATCTAGAGCACCCGCCTCCCTAATCGCACACGCCAGACAGCCTCTTCGTCGCCTGCTCACCAGCGCGTTCCAGCCCTTCTCGGCGCAGATGGCCCTCGCGAGGATCTCCGTATCCGAGCCAAACTGCCTCCTCCTCGTCTCCATGTACATTTTCTTAGTCGTGGCATCCCAGCTACCAGTGAAGTCTGTGCTGACGCTTCCCGCCGATGAGTGTGAGGATCCTGGAGGGGGTGGTGTTACAGCGGCGTTAATGCTGGGACCTGTTGATTCGCCGTTGGTGCGGGCAGCAGCTGGTCGGGGAGAAGTTGGAGTAGGATCGGTGGAGGGTCTCTTGGGGAAGTTTGTGACGCAATCAATAATAAGGACAGCAGGAGGTTTGTTCTGTGCCGGTGTGAGACTGGGCTTCCGGGCAGCGGGGGTGTTGAGGAGGAGATCTTCTAAGGTTTCCGTTCGTCGCTTGAGAAGATCCGAGAGGTGAATGACGGTATATGTGAAGAATTTGTGTAGCGGGTGCCCTGGGCGAACTCAATGTTAGAAAGAAAAGAGAAGAAGAGGAAAAAAGACCCCGGCGCGAATTTACACGTACCTGTAACGCTTGCGGTAGTCGAAATCCTGCCATTCGACATGCCAGTTCCGGAGACATCGATGTGTTGGATCGTTGGGCTTGAGGGCGACTTAACGTACTTAACGTAAGGCGACGGCGCACAGGGATGAGCAGTAACAAAGTACACCTCCTTTGACAGGGCAAAAGTATGTTCAGTTGAGGCTTCGTCTCCCTCATTCCTAGCCGCAAACGTGATAGCAGACGGGTAGGTATGGATAACTGGGGTCTTTATGACTTCAAACGGGAACTCGCTCCCACTTTCCTCTGTCTGCGAGGGCGAAGAATCGACTGAATCCGTAGGAGCGAACAGGTCTAACGACTCAAGCTCCACGCTCACCGAAGGGGGCGGGTCAATGTAGTTGTCTTCCACAGGAATAACGAAGTCAGCTGGGAAGACAAAGGCTGGATCAGCATTGCCCAGCACATCAGAGTCTTTCTCAACACTAAGCTTATCCCATAGACGTGCCCTTCGACCAGTCTTCTCAGATTCTCCTATATGTAGTGCATGCATTAGTATCTTCACCCCAATTGGCCTGGAGGAAGGGCCTTGATTGTTCAGGGCTGAACGTACCTTCAACCTCATCCACCGAAATGTTCACCCAGCCATCCGAGAAGCCTCGTGGAATGATATCACTGGAGATCCAGCCCATGCACTCTGCAGAACCCCTGCCAGCAGCCAGCACCCTTCCAACGATGCAAGCAGTGCTCCAGAAACTCTTTCCATTGTAAACGAAACCACCGGCAAGATTTGCAACTGGCCCAAGTGTCCGCATCGCGCCCTTATCGTTTTCGAGCAATGTGGCCATGAGGAAGTGGTTGAGGCATTCGCCCGGGAGCACCAAGCCGGATATGTACGACTTGGAGAGCCAACCCTCGCGATTCAGCGTGGCCTGGACCTTTCGGCGCCGTAACTTCACACCTTTGCCCTTAGTCTTCGGCAGTGATGAAGAGGATGTCGAAGGCCGCGGCAGGTCGCTCACAGATGTCCTCGGGGATGCGGCGACGGACGCGGAATTGTTGACGGTTCGCGCATTGTCCTTGATTCGTGCTTCGTACGCATCGATATCAGGCCAGCGCAATTTGCGTGCGAAGTGGGTCAAGCCATCAATCTGCCTCTCACCATGCATGCCCTTCACGGTGTAGGAGGTGAGCTTGCCATCGTCGCGGCTCTTCGTCCGTCGATGGCTGCGGAGCGTCATACGCTCGGTCAGCGCGGCAAGCCATCCGATTGGTGCGTGATGGTCCTTCGGGACAGCTAGATCGGACTCCTTCTTGACGACCTCGATGTTCTCGAGCCACACACGGGCCAGAATAAGGGACCACTTTACTGTTGAGTTGGCATCTCTTTCGAAACGGCGTATATCGTCGGGATGGATGCTCTCCACGCCCAGTTCTTCTCCAGCCGTAATGGCATCTAACCGTATCAGAAGCTCACACGCCAGAAGAATCTGAAGCAGTAACCAGAATCTCTCTTGGATACACTCGCTGATGCTGTCGGCATCGGCAATGGAAGCTCCATCAATGATTTCGTCACCGCCGTCGACAGTGCCCCAGAGGACCTGACCAAGCCTAATGCGCCATTCGAGTCGCGAAAAATCGAACCAGGTATTCGGCGCCGCGAGAACCTTAATCAGGGCTTGAATCTGGACGATGAGGCTATAGGGATCGCTGTGGTCGATGATGCGGTTTGGTGGATGCAGGATATGCAGGAACAAGTCGTTGTACAGCTCGCTCGACATATCGCGGTTCAAGACGCCCTCGTTGTACCTTTTTCCGTTCTTCATAAGTTGATCTAGCACGAATTCCTCTCGCAAAAAGCGTAATCCGTCCTTGGAGGATATAAGGTGTTGGCGGTGCTCGAGAATAATGTGGGACTTGCAGCCAAGGCTGTCGAAGCCAAACTGTTCCTCCTGCAGAGCATCAGAAACGGACATTTCCAAAGCTGCCTGGTAGCCAATGGTGCCCTTCTCCAGTCCCAGCATGCTCAGCATATTAGGCCGTTCGCGACATCTGGGGTAGAAGTGGGCCCTCGCCCTATCAGCACCGGAGTTGCGGCGAGCACCCCGAGTAATGTGTGGCCAGGCAGTAACGCATCTCCAAGCATGGTTTTCGATCTGAGTGTGGTCGGTAAGATCGCGAATTGAGAGCTCCTCGTCCCAAGGAAAGGCGACGGAAGGATGGGGTGCACCGGTGTTGTGGCCTTCGGCTCGGGCAAAGTACTGAGGAGCGCCCGAGAAGAGCCGCTCGATATCGGATTCGCTGAGAGTCGCCATGATTCGGTCCAATTTCAGGACAGGCTTAGGAAGAGGCGCATTCGCCTTTTCACTACCCGGGGGAGGTGGTGATGGGAGAGGTTTGTTGGCATTGATGGGAGACTTGGGGAAAGGAGGTGTCTCGGGTGAGACCTGTGGCTTCGGCAAAAGCGGGCAAAGCAAGAACTTGTTAGCCGGATAGTTGGTTGGTTGGTTTGGGGGATCGTGGAATCAGATATGATGTATATGTATGCGCCTGGGTGTGCGCGTGTGTGCTCGTGTGATGGGTGGGTGGGGAGTTGCAGTTGCAGATGCGTTGCGATGTCTCGCGTGAGAGTGGTAAAGGAGCTCGGTGTGGTACAAGGGGATTGGCTAAAAGGGCAGCAACTGGTGAGGAGGACTAGAGACGGAAGGAGAAATGGAGGTCGGGGTACAGCAAGTTGTGTGAAGGTGGGAACTATAAGGGGATAGAGCGAGGCAGGAGCAGGCCAGGAGCACTAATGATGTCGGGTCGTGGCACCTTGAAGCTGCAGAATGTTGAGGACGCATCCCGGACCTAATATAGGTTTGGTGGCATCACGAAGTAGAATCGGGACTGGGCATTTTGTGACGGGCTGCCAAGAGTGATCAAATGGGACGAGATGGAGGGGGGGGAGGGGCACAACTCTACTACTGAGTACAATTCCAACACGGTTATGCGCCAGGCAAGCAGCACGGGCACAAAGTAGGAGAGCAGGCACAATCAAACTGCAGCGTCAAAACGGGCGACGGGCGACGGGGGGGACCAGGAGGGGCAATTTGGCGATGACGATAATGATAACGATAACGGTGGGAGGGGCCGACGCTTGTATTAAGATGGGGCAAGAGAAAAGCACGGGACGGATAGGATAGAGCGAGTAAGGGGAACACGAAGGAGTAGGGGGGCATGATCAAGTTTAACGAGGAACGGATCCAATATCGGCCCTTGGTCTAGCCAGGATCTGGCAAGGAAAGGGAGTCCGCGTGAAGGGTAGCGGGGAGGCGAGAGCATCCACACTTGAGGATTCAATCAATTGATCGAGCAATGGAAGCCAGGAGGTGGTGTGGACGGACGTGCATGGCAACTGGACCGGGGGGCTAAGGAACAGCGTTTGAAGCATTGCGACGGCCGGGTCCGTTAAGCAAAAACTCTAATGGCGGGTATCGGTAACGCCTCGATGGTCTGATGACGAAAAGAGATCGGCAGAGACTTACAGCTCCTGTTCTTCGGGCGGATTGCCTTGGCTTTCCGAAAGGCGGTGACGGCGAGGATTCAGCTGATGGAGTAGCACCCGTAGCACCTGCCTTGGGGGTTTTATAGTGAAAATTGATGGGATTAGTGGAATTAGTGGGTTTATGAGTCGCTGATGTCGCGTGCTGTGCGTGGGGTTGAGGAGGAGTTGTGGTCTTCGTAGTCACCGACGTTTTGCGGGTTGCTGTTGTTGTCGACCGTGATAATGACGACGATGCCGGCGATTTCGGCTTCAGGGACGCTGTTCTGGTCAATAAATTCTGGAGGAAGTCTCTCGTTGAACCCTTGCGTGCATGGCGGGACTGCTGGGGTGGTTGAGTTTGCGGTGGTTGCCGCGGTGGTGGTGATTGTGACTGCGACTCTGGCTGCGATTGTGATTGGGACCGCGGTGAAAGAGGAAAATACCGTTGCGGTTGTGGGGCTTGTTGGTGCTGTTGGTTCTGAACAGGACCCTGAACCAGTGCCTGAGAGTGAGTCTGTACAGGGGTTGGGCTCCTCACACCGGCCCGAACCTGGCCAGGCTCAGTGGCCACCCCGCCTGATGATGATGATGATTCAGTCTTAGAAGGCAACGACCCGTGACTCGGTGGTGTCGTTTTACTAGCCGTTATAGTCGTCGTTTTGCCGCTGGCGCTAAGCTCATCGGTCGATGTGTTCGACTGGCGTCCGAACGGTGTCCGTTTCAATAAGTTGAAGGGTGGCATCTGCAAACTGCAACTCGTCCTGGCACGAGTACTCTAGCGAGTACGAGGCGCAGACTCCGAGGGCTCGGCGGATGCTAATAGGTCTGGCTGAGACACGGACAGACCAGACACAGACTGGCGTTGTGCTTCCCCGGCTCCGTGATGGTCGCACTCCAATGGCGGTGGCGGAATGAGGTGGCGGAACAGCCAGCAGTTGCTTCTGCGACTCGGTACGATTCCACGTATGACCTGGTACTTGGTAGAAGGTCCCTTGCTTCTTTCGTTGATTCCAGCAGCTGTCGTGTGTCGGTACACAACACTACAATCCGTATCCAAGAGTCCAGGAGAGTGTATTCGGCACTATACTCGTTCTACTTACTTCGCACGAACATCCGTAGCAGTAGTTGCACTGGTGCGCTGCAACCCCGAACGCTAGCAACAAAGTCGGCCGGGAGTGAACCGAGGAAACGGGTGTTGGAACCAAACGTTTTTGAGAAGTGAAAATCTGGGGACCGCGAGTTCAAGACTAGATAGAGGGAACAAGTTGAAAGGATTGATGAGGGGAAAACACGTTCTTGAGACTTTCTCTTGACACACGCTTACTCCCTTTCTTTCTTATTTCACTCTCTTGCTCTCTGCTTACCCCGTCCTACCGGCTCCACTCCCTTTTACTCATACGCCGATTTCTTTTTCCTCTTTTCTTTTTGTTTTTCTCGCCAGAGGATGGAGATGTGGTAATGTATGATCCGATATTGAAGTCTCTTAAGTGGATCGGCGACCTGCAGACCCGCCGATGCTTTTTAGTGGACGTTGTTGATGCGACTGGACGAGAGCGGACTTCGACCTCTCTATTTCAATATATAACGAAAAAGCTGGAATCCACCGTCGATGACGAAGCCTCCGATGTCGAGGACTGCCAAAAAGATGGGAGAATGAATGAACCGTGACACCTGACAGGGAACAGAACCCCAGATAATGGTCGGAGATAAGGAGAGACGAGAGAAAAAAAGGAACTCTTGACGGGTGATGGGCTAGGAGTGACGTGAGGGGGAGTGTGGGCCTTTTAATGCGCGGAGAAAGAATCCGAAGTTGGGGTTTGAGATCTGAAGCAGGCGAAACGCATTGATGGGGGCGAAGAAAGGCAGGATATTGATGTATACGAGGTAAAGAAACACGTTGGGGTTATAAGGACGACCATCAGGTTCCCGTCGAGTTGGTTAACCGAGATCGATTCAGTGCCCCAGCCGACGATGATAGATGATGGCAGATGAAGGCGTCAGACCCTGAGGGATTATGAAAATGAGAGGGAGAAAAGACCTTCGTAAGCTGAAGCTGAAGAAGATGATAGAAGCCGGGGATTGCTAAGTAGTCTTACGAAGTACTTCGTCCGCCGATCTCTAATATTGTTTGGACAAATGTATTGATTGAAATTATTACGACCACGAACGGGGCATCAGGGCCAAGTTGGTTGACACACGCGAATCAACACACACCAAGACGACACAATTCTCATAAGCGGAGACGACATTGGCACCCATCAAGTTGTGTCGTAATGCCAATGATTCCTCGACCAACCTTAGACTCTATTGGCGCTAGGACGACGGAGGACATTTCCCGTCCAACTTAACAGCCAGGCCAAGCGCGCACGCAAGGCCAATACAGCCATAATATAAAAGTTGATGTGCATGCGGATTATAAGCACAGGAACGGGTAATAATGAGGATCTATCAATATTGATATGCGTAGAACCGACTCCTCTCCTTCGGTATCAGTAATGCCAACCGAGCTGGTTTGGACAATGAAGTCAACGAAGTCCGGAGTTATTTTCCTATCCCCCAATCTGTCCTGCTGTCGAGATAGTCGGTCTCAGAACCACGGGGTTCACCATCCTTCGGCTATCATTTCACTGATTGTTCCCTGCAGCGAATCTTTGATCGGCCGCCCGGCCTCGGGGGTTTTCCCAAGTTGTGAGTTTCTCCGCACATCTGTTTCGTCTATCCGCACGATCACAACCGAAGCGGAGCAGGGAGGATCCATGTTCTTCCTTCGGTCTCAACTGACTTCTAGGCCATCTCTTTCGCTCTCTTACCACCCGCGGGTGTCATGGGAGAGAGAAGAGGTCTGGCTTTCATACCTGGCTACAACACAAATTTCGTTTGGATATCAGAACCCCAGCTTGGCCTGTCGTAGTTACAGCATTATTACAGGATACAGGAAACGAAGACCTGACAAACATTTACTCCGTCCTTCATAGATACGACCTCGTAATCTGGCTACACCCACCGCCAAGTGAGCCTTGTAAGGATGAGGGATGTTGGCAACTTGTTTCGAGTGGGAGAAGAGAACGGCACGAGGCACTGCAAAGTAACAACCCATCCACCCCCTGCTCATATCCAAGGGGTTTCCATGACCGTCCACTTGACCTCGCGTATCTCAATTGGATGGGTGGAAGAGCCATTCTGTCAGTTGTGGCACTATTATTATTACTACCAAAACCTGATTGCTTGGGGGAAGGGATTTGAAGTGCTAGCGTGGCGAGAAAAAAAAAAGCCGAGAAACAGGGGTCACGGATGGCACCCAATAACCCTTGTTTGACAGACCAGCGACCACTTCCGACTCTGACGCAATTGGTTTCTTCTTTTTCTAGACGTTTTCCCCTGCTTCTCGAATGATTATCTCCATACCTTTGGCAATTTGGGGGTTCGATATCGAGCAATAGCCTCGCCAATTCCGGGGGAAGAAAGACCACAAAACGTACAACAACTCCTGGTCGAGTGTCAACCAGTTGACCGCTCCTTCATGGAAGATTCGTAGAGCATCACTTACTTCGTACGGATGTGGAAACGAGCAAATCAACGAGCCGCGTTCGGGCTGGGTTGGTTGCACATAACCCAGCACCTGCTTTGTATCTACTGCATCGTCCATCGCCGCCTGAATGCCAGTTGCAGGAAGGAGCAGAGACCATGGCAATCTCATTACCCTATTCTCCTCTAAGTTGGCGACAGGTGCTAAGGACCCCTCAGGCTCGACTTCAATATGCTGTGTCATTACAAAGGTATTGAAATTGAACTTTGATGAGCCGCTCCCGGTCGATTACAGGAATACTCTACTCCAAACAAGGCATGGGCTTCCATTCTGCTTCTCTCCCTTTTCCTCGACTGAGCCACGGAACCACGAGGTCTTCGTCCCGAATGGAGAACGGATCGGCGGGAGTTTATCCCCCTCTCCCCAACACGCCTGTACTTGTGCTCGGACAATTCTAACACGGAGGATTAATATCTACGAAGTAAAGACTGCACCAACGGGATCACTCCGCGAAGGAAACCACTATGCGTCAAGACACAAGATACAAACAAGAGAAGGGTGGCTGGCGGAACTGACGAATCCGATATTAAGGCACCCTTCATTAATCTTAACGATCAATATGCAGGGCCGCCGCGGCCCCTCCCTGCCCCATCTGTTCCAGGTGTTCCTACGCACTAGTACAACCGGGGCTTCCACATCGCCGCTTGTTCTGGAAAATAAAACAGGAAAAAAAAAAGTGGCTGTTTTCAAGATTGAATGGGTATCACTGTATAATCTTCTTCCTCCCTTTCGTTTCACCGTTGGTGTTCTACCCCAAGTCGCCGTGCCGTCATCCTTCCTTTTCTCCTGCCGCACTAGTGTTCCTTCATCCATAATATGCAGTAAGCAAGACGAGGTTGATGCGAGAGGATTGGTCCAGGAGGAGATGGCTGCAAGAACCCACCCAAGAGATAAACTCCAAATTCGTGGCCCAGCTCGGGGAATCTCTACCACCTCTGTGTTTGGCCCCTTCGCTCTCGGTACTACCACTACCAATCGGAATCGATGGCCGGCGGTGTCTCCTAGATTGGCGAATTTCCCTTTCGCATTATGCCTCCGACTCCTGCGCCCGCAAGCTAGCCGTTAGAGCTAGGAAAGCTGTTGGCTGTTTGTTTGGGTGTGAGACAGTCGTCGACGACGCCTGCTTGCATCGAATCTGTAATCTCTCTCTCGCTACGCGGGAGGAGTATCATGTACAACGATTAGAAGGTATTTCGGGTCGGGAACTACGACCAGCTCCTGCTTCTTCGTCCGCAACCGTAGCAATTTCAGTTCATCCTGTGGAAGAAGATCACGTCAGCCCTAAAATAATGATCTACCCACGGAACACCTCCTTCATTCCTCTTCTTTTTCCCCTCGTATCCGTGCCTGTCAGACGGGGTAAAGGGAAAAGACGACAAAATTGGGAAGAGGATATCCTACATCGTTGTCGAGCTCCTGCACGAGCGCTCCCGAGGCGTTGACGTAAGCCCACACAAGCGCCGCAAAAGAATTTACCTCTTGCGCCTCGATCTCTTGTTCTGATTTTGTAATCGGCGCGCCGGTCTGATCGGAGGGGAAGGCCACCCTCGAGGGCGACGCGAGGTTTTGCGCGGTCTGGGATGATTTCGAGGTGCGTAGACTAGATACTTGGCCACTCGTCCTAAGAACCGATCCCGTCGCTCGGTCTAGAACAAGTGTCGCCTTGACGCCCGTCTTTTTCGAGATTCGATTCAACGTCTCGTCGAGCGCGTCGTGTGTCGGAAGGGTCTGAACCTGATTTGGGTGTCAGCGGCGCTCGCTCTCCTCTTGGTGTGAATGGAGGCACAAACTCCTATTGAATCTGTCATCCTTCTTATTATTCTTCTTCTTGGCGGAAGCAGCGAGAAAATCAAATCTCGCGACGTCCCGGTTGGGTATTCTAGCGGGCTTTGATTGAGGGGCTGGATCTTTGGAAGGCTTTGAGGTCCTTCAATCCTCCTGAAGTGGTAATAATACGCCCAAGCCATCGTTAGGTACTGGGAGAGAGCTGCATTACGGTTGGAGCTTCACGTGACGGAGTCGCCGGGTTGAGCAGCGCTCCAGAACGGAACTGTCGTCTTCAAGCACTGGCGCTGCTGTAAAAAATTACCCAATTAGAGTGAGCTTTTCACACGCACTTCAGAAACTTGAGAGTGTAAGTCTGCTCAAATCTTTTTTGCAGAGGATATATCGGATTGTTTCGTCTTATTTATAACCCGGACTTGCAAACAGGAATACTGAGAAAAATCAGGCATAATGGGCTCAAGCAATAAGAGGAAGAAGGAGAAACAACAAGATTTCAAGGTATTGTTATTACTCCACTTGCATCTTCTCACAACTTCTCATGGCTAACGAGACGCCCCAGAAAACGAAATTGAAGGTTGGCAAGGCCAAGCCGAAGCCTTCGAACTTCACAGATACCAGTTTCAAATCCAAGGGTACGAACTCTAGCTCCGCATCCATGGGTTCTTTGTTCTTCTCGTGCTCACTCCGCTTTTCTCAGCCATTGCTGTCGCGCAGCAGTCCTTATCCGAGACTGCCCCAGATGCTGTTCAAAAATTCAAGCACAATCTTTCTCTTGCGGCTACCTCAAATTCAGACAGGCAACGACGGGACGCGTTATCGTTCCTTACATCCCAACTAGCGGCTGGGGCCTCCAACAACCCTGTTGGGACCCGCGAAGTCTTGGTTAAGCTTCTACCTTTAGTTCCTAACACCTCTACCCCCGTGCGAGCTCAACTTCTCAAGCTCCTCCGATGCCTACCAGCCGAGGAAGTGAGAATACATTCCGAAGAAGCGCTGCGGTGGATTCGCGTTGGTATGACCCACCTATCTGCCGAAGTCAGTCTCGATTCCCTCTCGGTGCTTGACTGGCTTCTGGATGTTGCCTCAGACGAGGCCGTCTCTTGCCCTGGAGGCTGGGTGATGACGTTGAACAGCTTCTGTGCTATGATGGGGTGGTCCACGACGGGGAACAAAGGCTGGACTTCGGCTCCAAAAATTGGCGTACGGACCAAAGATTCCGCATCGCATGCCCAACAACTCACAATACTGGCCAAGTTCTTGGCAGCTGGCCTCAAGGAAGAAGAGACTGTCTTCATCCATCAGGGTCAGTACTGGGACCGATTATATCGACTTGAACGATCTAGAGACCCGTTCGCGTACCTCAACATATATGGAAAGCGCCGTGATGGAGACGGGGAGATGTACCAGGACAGAGAATCCAGGCAACGAGCATTCCAGAAGCGATACGCCGCGCTTGTGTTGGCTGGAGTGGACCGGGCCAAACGCGAAGGCGGTGCGCCTGGGCGAGCAGCGGCTACTTTGGTGCAAGTTCTTCGGGAGGGTGCAGGCGACACAGATGTAGCTGATGCGGCAGATGTTGAAGATTTGCTCGATCTTTGGTGATTCTACACGGGCTATAAACCTAGGGTTTTGTACCACCCGCCCACTTTCTACTTCCACTCCATAACCCGCCAAAAGTTCTGGAATGCTCAATCCTTTTGGCAAGTATCTGGATTCCCGAGTCCAAGACAGAATATCATGCCAATATGCCATCATAACTCAAAACCTTTCCTTCCCCAAGGCCCCAAGCGATCCTAGCAGTGAGTTATTATCTTACCCCATTCTAATCCGAAGAGGAGATACTGCCTTTCATCCTCATCTCCTTACCTCTCATCCCCCTCTTCCCGGACCTTTCTTACTACCTCATTACCCTTTGTCTTTGTCCAAGCTCGCGGCTGATACCATGCATCTAGGCGGAGAAATAAGAGCAGAACATTGAAAAAGCCATTGAGGACCACCTTCCAAACAGGCAGATAGCCATAAAGACAAAGGAAAATTTGCCTATTTTTCATAGATCAATTACATTTAAATACCCCCTAGCTAGAATTACTGAGAGTCTCAAGATACCCATCCTTCCCCAGCAGGCCAGCCCTGGTAGATTGCTAAATGTCTACGATACGACTAACCACCGCCATCTGCATCTGCCTCAGTCCATGTCGACTCGAACAAACGCTTCTAACCAATCTTGTGGCTCATACCAAACGTTGCTGTTCCCCGATGGTTCTTAAGTAAGAAAGGGAGAGTACATTGTGACATACAGCAGCAGTTGTTCTTTCCTCCCTCTTTCGTCCAAGCCTTTCTACGGTCTGATCTTGCAGTCGAGGGCTCCTTCCATCATTTTGTGCCTTCTCTCAAGCTTCAGCGCTCGCTGACTTTGATTTCTCCCACATAAAAACCCACTTCTCTCCTCTGCCCTCAACTACTTCTTCCTCTTCTCTACCCTCTTTTTCTTTTCCTGTTCCACCCCAGCACTTCCATCTCCCCCGTCTGTCTCCTCTTGACCATCAAACAGTCAAGACCCCCGTTGTACTCGAAGTTACCTCTTCGACTGCATCATTCTAGCACTTCGAAGATATCTAGCTCTTCGAAGAACGAGGTAAGCCCTACCCTGGGACGTGTTCAGCCTGGATCATCCTCCCAAGCCTGCCCCTTCCCTAAGCACATCGCGTACCTTCTGCTCGAGTCCATCTTTTGGAAGGAGCAGGAGACTACAACCCTAAAGACTTTTCTAAAAACTTTTCCTATGACTTTTCTTCCCACACATTCCCAACCATTCCCTCTTCATCTCCTTTTTTTCCCCCAAGCTCATCCCTCTCACGAGCCTGGTCTACCAAACGGCAGAATCAAGACGCCATTTGACTGACGGCGAGATCGACAGGCCCTCCAGTCTAATTCGAATCACATCGTTTTGTAATAGCGTACTATTTGCGCACTATCAGTAAGTTCACTTCTTTTCCTTTCGTCTTTTTTTCCTATTTTCGGCCCTGCTGGATTCCCCATTCTGCCCTATCCCTCTTGCCTCGGTGTGGTAGTTTTCTCTGCCGCGCTCCTCTCTCCCCATTCCACGCACCTTGGCCATCTCCAAGACGTCTAACGAAGATCTACGTGCCTTTAGATCATGTCAGACACCTGGAATACCTCCGAGATGAGGGATTCCTTGCCCGAGTCTCACAACCGGGACGCCGATGCAGTTGGAGTTGCTTCCAACGAGAACGGCAGCGTTGCCAATGGCTCTGACAACGGCGAGTTTTCCAACGCCGCTTCGACCTTGAAGACCATGGGATGGATCAAGGCTGAGGCCTACGATTATACCGCCCTTGTCGGTCCTGACCATGATGAGGCTTGGGACGGCTCCGCTCGTATTTATGAGTGGGACGGCGAGATGGGCGAGGTCGGCCCTGAGCACCCCGAGCTGGAGTTGGATCTTTTCGGTACTCCTGAGTCGCGCAAGGAGGTTTGCGGTCTCGACTTTACCAGGTAAGTGACGCCCCTCGGTTACGGCCACGAACGTGGCCAGCATTGCCCCATTGTTGTCATCGTCTCTCAGCTTCCTTCATTTGTGCTAACGGCAAAACAGGCTTTCCGAGATTGAGATCACTCAGGAAGGCACTGTCAAGATTGAGCTGATTAACAGCTTCAAGGATGCAGGCCTGCATCCTGTTATGCTCCGCAACATCGAGCTTGCGGGATACGATTCCCCCACGCCTATTCAGAAGTGCACTTTGCCCGCTATCCATCTCGGATACGATACCATTGGAATTGCCCAGACAGGTTCGTACATATCTCTCCTTCTACATGATCGCCTATGATTCATAAATGACTGACCACATGACGGATAGGATCCGGCAAGACGGCCGCCTACTTGATTCCCGTCTTGAACAAGTTGGTGGGCAAGGCAAAGAAGTTGGCGGCTCCTCGTCCTAATCCTAACACCTACCAGGAGGGCGTGGACCCGCCCGCTCGCGCTGAGCCTTTGGTGGTTGTCGTTGTCCCTGCCCGCGAGCTGGCGGTTCAAATTTTCAACGAGGCCCGCAAGTTTTGTTATCGCACCATGCTGCGACCTTGTGTTGTCTATGGCGGCGGCCCTATCAAGGACCAGATTAAGCTCTTAAACAGGGGCTGCGACATTCTTGTCGCCACTCCCGGTCGTCTGATCGATTTCATGAACCGCCCCGACATTCTCTCGTTGCAGCGACTTCGATACATGGTCATTGATGAGGCAGACGAGATGCTTCATGACGATTGGGCCGAGGACCTCGCCCACATCATGGCTGGCTCGAGTGAGTTATCCTGAGTTTTCCCCATCATAGTTCCTCTACATATTCCTATACTAACCAACCGGCCCTTACAGACCAGGATGATGATCAGGTCAAGTATCTTCTGTTCTCGGCCACTTTCCCGAAGCCCCTTCGCGACCTCGCCAAGAACTATCTTTCGACTGATTATGTCCGATTCCGCGTCGGGCGTGCTGGAAGCTCTCACAGCAATATCAAGCAGGACATTATCCTTGTTGAGCAGGACAAGCGCCAGAGTTTGGTGAATCTGCTGTCTACCATGCTGCCTTGCCGTACCATCATTTTCGTCAACAGCAAGCGCACTGCTGATGAACTCGATGACTTCTTGTTTAACATGAACCTTCCCTGCACGTCCATGCACTCCGATAGGACCCAGCGCGAGCGTGAGGCCGCGATGAGGGCCTTCCGAGCCGGAACTGCCCCCATTCTGATCGCCACCGGTGTCTCTGCCCGTGGTATCGACGTCCGCAATGTTTTGCATGTTATCAACTACGACCTCCCCTCCATGGACTATGGCGGAATCGAGGAGTATGTCCACCGAATTGGTAAGTGCCGTCAAGTTCACCTACGATTTTGTGGTCTTTTGTGCTCCGTTTGGCTTTAATTCTGATAAATGATGTTCTCCAATAGGTCGCACTGGTCGAATTGGCTACCGTGGGTTGGCCTCTTCTCTGTACACTGAGAAGGATGAGCCTATTGCAAGCGTTCTGACCCGTACCCTTTTGGAGACGGGTCAGGAGGTTCCTGATTTCCTTCAGCAGTACATCCCCGAGGGAGCTGATTTGAAGTTTGAGGCAGATTCCGACTACGAGCCCGACCAGCAGCAGGGCGGCTTCGGAGATGCTTCCGCCTGGGGCAATGATGACGGTAACGATGGCGGCAATGATGGCGGCGCTTGGGGATCTGCCGACGGCGGCTGGGGTGAGAACCCTGAGGCTAACGCCGGCGACGCCACCGCTGGTAACGCTCAGCAATGGAACTAGTCCTCTGGGCTATCGTGTCTTCTAAGTCCTCACGAAAAGTTTCTGCCCTTCGAGGATTCCCAGGTTGAAAGTTTTTTTCACCTCTTCCGGGTGGTTTTTTTCCACATTTGTGTTTGACCTCTACTAAGAGCTTGACCAACAATATTTTGAATGAAGTACGGCGAAAGAAGATATTGGTTCGAGTCGGCTCGACTAGATAGATAGTCTAAATGAATGTGTTTCCATCCCAATCCTAGTAGCCTTTGTAGCCCGTGCTCAAGTTGATGTTCTGGCGAGTAACTTATGATATCCTGCTGGGAGCAACACTGGGAGTAGACGTAAAACGAGAAAATCTGACTATTATTATTATCTTCATGTTATCGTAAGTTAGAATATCAACTGGCACCCGTTCAAGGAGGTAGTCCTGAGCTAGACAAGCTCTCTTTGCTTCGTAGCAAGAATAACCCTGCTGAAAAGTTCAACAGCAGGACATAAAACTACAATCAAGCTTAACATGATATTGCCTTTTTCCTTCCCTCATCTCTCTGCCCAGCTTTTCTCTCTCTTCCCTCAATCTACATATTCTTAAGAATAGTGAAAACTCCAGCAAACATCCCGCCCAAACCCAACGCATAACCCACCTCTACGACGCCCCTCGTAAACCTCCAACTCCTCTCCTGATCCGCGACAGGATACTGCACGGGCGGCGGGATCCCCGTCCGAATACCGAGCCACTGCGCGCGATCGTGACACACGCTCTTGGCGTTGCAGAGGCCCCGCAGGCCCTCCTCGCCAGCGAATTTGCCGTAGCCCGAGCCACCGACTCCGCCGAAGGGGAGCTGGACGGCGTAGAAGGCGGCGAAGTCGTTGACGGCGACGTTTCCTGTTCGGAGGCCGGAGACGACGAGAGGGAGGACGGGGTCGGATTCTTTGCCGAAGACGGAGGCGCCGAGGCCGAAGGAGGGCGCGTTTGCGATGGCGAGGATGGAGTCTGCTCGTTCTTGTGGGGAAGAGGATCGGGAAGAAGGAGAGGTTGAGGGGGCGCGCATGATGACCATTATGGGGCCGAAGCATTCTTCGTTGGCGATGGCCATGTCGGGTGTCACGTCTACGAGGAGGGTGGGCTGGAAGTAGTGGCCCTTGGGGAATTCGGGGTGAGGGAATCGTTTGCCGCCGGCGAGGAGGCGGGCGCCGTCCTTGACTGCGGAGGCGACGAGGTTTTCGAGGCGGGTGAAGGAGGCGTCGGAGATCATGGCGCCGACGTCGGCTTTGGGGCCGAGGCGGAGGGCTTTGACTTTAGGCTCGACGAGGGCGATGATCTTTTCGTAGAGCGGGTCGGCGACGATGATGCGCTCGATTCCGATGCAGTTCTGTCCAGCGGACTGGAACGTGCCGCGGAGGAGGATCTTGGAGATGCGGTCGAGGTCGTTCTTGGCGGACGAGAGGATGATGGAAGGGTCCTTGCCGCCCAGCTCCGCGACGACGGGGGTGAGTGCCTCGGCGGCCGAAGCGGCGACCTTGTGGCAGATGGGGCGGGAGCCGATGAAGGTGATGTGAGAGATGGAAGGGTGAGAGGTGAGGTGGGGCGCGACGTGGGGCCAGCACACGATGGGCTGGACGAGGGCTGGATCGTGGCCGTGGGCGATGAGGGCGCCGCGGGCTACATTGGCGAAGAAGCTCGCGCTCCAGGCGGTCTGCTCGGACACCTTGACGACGATGGCGTTACCCGCGAACAGCGCCGAGATGACGGGGCCGATGAGGTTATGGAAGGGATAGTTCCAGCTGACGAGGGCGGCGACGACGCCCAGCGGCTCGTAGCGCACCTCGTTCCTCTTATACGACATGAGGAAGTTGGTCGGCCTCCTAGACGGCCGGAGGGCCTCCTCGCCGTGCTTGAGCGTCCACGTGAGCTTCTCCGCCGTCACGAGGATCTCGCCGAGCTGGGCGTCGACCATGGTCTTGCCCGAGTCGAGGCACGCCACGCGGCAGAGCTCTTCCTGGTTGTCGAGGACGTAGCGGAGCATGGAGCGCATGACGGCGCGGCGTTCGCGGAAGGTGGTCGTTGCCCATTTCTTTTGGGCTGCGGCGGCCGCTTCGATGGCGCGGTCGATGCCGTCGGCTGTGGAGGGGTTGATGAGGCCGAGGAATTGGCCTGTGGCGGGGGCGTAGCACTGGAGGGCGGTTGATCCGGTGATCTGGGACGAGTGGTTGTGTTAGGTTAGTTATTGAGCGTTTTCTAGTGTGATGAAAAGGAAGGAGGGGAAGGGAGGGGTGCATTGGATGGTGCTGGAGCGGGTTGATGCGTGGAGGGCCTTTACCTTTATGCTCGCCTCGTCGACTATGCGTTCCTGCTCGGGGAATTTCGGCGACGGTATCGTGTATCGCCTCGGGCCCTCCTCACCGAAGAGGAGCAGCTTGACGAACACTCCGGCGATGCTGCATGCTATCACAGCAGAGAGGATCTTGACACTACGATCCAGTAGCCGGGCATGTGTTAGAACAGTGGTCTCCTAGGCGGCGTGGGGAAAAAAGAAGAAGCTTTCAACTTACACGAAATCCTCTGGCAGGTCCAAGTCGACCAGGCGCTCCCGGATGTAGCTCGTGATGCACTCAGACATGACGTCGAAGGAAGAAGTCGAGCTTTCAAAGGTCAATTGGCTCGAGAAACGGATCAATTGAGGGATCCAATCCAACCGGTATCGCTCAGAGAGAAAAAAAGAAAAGAAAATGCGACTCTTGATGTGGTTCGATCCCCCTTATCTTGGCGTCGTTGCACAATCGGAACTCGACGACCTTAGACCGAACGTTGAAATTAAGCGTTGGGGGAGGTGCCTAGCAAAAAATTCAGGGACGGGCCGGTTTAACTTCGGTTCCCGGTGTGGTTCGGTGAGCTTTTGTCGTCGATTGCAGCCCAACGGTCATTGCTAAACTGGGGGAAGGAGCGAGACATCAAGCAGAAACAGGCAAAGTGCCAGAGTGGTTAATGGGTCAGCCTCGAAAGCTGATGGCTTCGGCCGCACAGGTTCGAATCCTGTCTTTGTCGGTCAATTTATTTTTTTAGCTCTTCTTTTTTTGTGGACACGTTAGTTCGAATCTGGCTATAGTGGGTTTTTGTGCATGGGGGGTGGAGGAGAGCGCTTTTTCCACTAAAACGCTTTTGACCACATCACTGGAAAATACCCGGCGTAGCGCTATACGCCCAACTACAGAACCCCCTGGCAGGGTTAGGAGGGCATGGGAGACATTGACGAACAACTCACACCTACGCATCAGCTTCGTCAATGATACTGTTACACACAAAGTCTCACGAGTGCAGTGGAATGGGGAGATATTAGATGCATTTACAACGCCATTGGTATCAAAGATGGAGATACACTACGTCAGTACATAACCTAATTTTGCGAACAAATATAAATAAAAAAAGAAAACGCTTAAAACAACGCCAGCGTATGAGCCCCTCCACTTCGGCTATTTCGTCTCGGCACGGTATTTCTAAGATGCAAGCAAAAAGAACAAAGAAAAAACGCCCTCCATATGAACAGAGAAAGGGGAAACGTGTATGTAAACGTTGAAAAACACACGGCGAGAGGGAGTGAAGGCAATAAAAAGTGTAGTAACAGTTAAAAGTTTTGTACTCGACGAGGTAAAAACAAGAAAAACACAAGACCGACAGAGTCCTTTTTGGGGAGATGACTCGTACAACCAAAAGAAGAGACAGAGAAAAGCACAATGCTCAGAATGAATTCCATCTTCCCTTCCCAATTGCTCCATTTCCCAGTCGCCGAAACGCCACTATAAACGAGGTGTTTTGTATAAGGAGGGAATAAATGATCGGAAAACGAACAAGGAATGCGTGAGGGTAGACGATCGGCAAGCGAGATCTTCCGAAAGGGGTATCGAGGGAACGGCCAAGGACATCAAGCCGAATTCCGTCAGTTCTTTTCTTTTTTTTCTTTTTCTTTTTTTTTGGATACAAATACCACCCAAGATCGGCCCTCTCCAGAGCTCTGCGGGCGCGACCTTAATGCTGACAGCTCGGGTTCCGGTAGTTCGCAATGTTGGCTCATGCCAAATCGCCATGCATTCCAGTTATGCGTTGGCTACTTTCGGGAATATCCGAGAGCAGAATGTCGTACAAGCAGATACAGGGCTATGTCATGCCCATGCATAGGAATATACCGCGGCGATATCAACAAAATGCCCTATAATACAGAAGGAAAAGTATGTGTTTTCGATGTGAACAATCGCCTCATCAATGAAAGGGTCCAGGTCCAGAAAGAAAAGGGTTCGGAACGAGAGAGAGAGAGAGAGAGAGAGAGAGTAGCAGTTATTAGGTATTGGTGGTGGATGGATGTGTGCAAAATCGTTCATTCGTTAGGATTCATGATGCTGCTGGTGCTGGTGATGATGTTTACCCAGAGACAGACCACGTAGCCTAGGCCTGAATCTGCCGCTCTGAGTAGACTCGATGCGCGACAGCCGCGCCGCCGAGGTGAAATCGCTGCTCGCCTCGAAACTGGGCCGTACGCGGTCCATAGACGCCCTGATACGATCGTACGATGGCCGAGCGCGCTCGATAGACATACGCTGAGGCGCTGGCGGCGAGCCGAAGCCCTCGTCGAACGAGGATCGGTGGCCCGTGTAGTTGGTACCGTCGCTGCCGTTTTGGCTGCGCAGCCGGTGGTGCGTTGTCTGCGTAACCACGGAAGGAGGATAGATCGGTCGTCGTTCCTCGTCCACGCTGCCGAAAGTGGATCGCTTCGCCTTCTTGTAGCTGTCGGAAGGGGCGGGACCCTCACTCTCAATCTTGCCGAGGCTTACAGAGGCGGAATCGACATCCTTCTTGTTCTTCTTGTCGGGATCCAGATGGTTGAACTTGCCCTGCCGTTCTTGCTCGCGGATAATATCGACGTCATAAGGGAAGTACACTTTCTGAATAGCCTTGATTGCGAACCTGGGAAATAGGCAGATGACGGGAACAATGAAGAAGACGGCCCAGAAGGTCGCGTCCCGGTAGATCTGGCTAGCGAGGTCGTAGAAGACACCCTCTGCGGCGCTGGTAAACTGCGAGTAGATGCCGGTCCAGAAGAAGACGAACAGGTCACTCAGGCAGATGATGAGGAGCATGATCCAGTCCCATCGGTACGTGTTGATGAGGATATAGGCGTTGATGGTCAAGACAGCCGGATGCGCGATATAGGCACCGAACCGAACTCGATCGTTGACGCTCAGACCGTTCGATGTGACGAAGGAGTTGCTGATGAAGACGAGGTACGGGATGAAGAAGGCCATGACGGATTGGTAGACACCGTCAATCATGTATAGCCAGAATTTGCGTTGCGTCCACTCCAGCCGCTCAATACCACGTCGGTAGAGCTGGGGAACAGCAAGCGAGACCTTGTCGGAAACATCCTGGTCGAGGACACCCATAATACCGACCGGAAGCGAGGTGAAGAACAGGTTGAACATTATAATATAAGTGTACTCGAAAACGTACGTCTGATCGAAGTTGCAGTAGATTTGGTACCAGAAAATGGCGAACGTCCATACCATGTTCTTGTAGAAAAAGTTCGGAATCGTCTCAGCCAACCGCCTGTAGGACCAGCGACCGTGAACCAACACCAATCTCTGGAGGAAGCGGAACTGCGCGATGGCATAGTCGGAGGACATGGCCGCCTGGCGACCTTCGAGACCAGCAATACCCACACCTACATCGGCTTCTTGAATCATGGCAACATCATTTGCGCCGTCACCGATAGAGAGCGTCATGACGTCGAGGCCGTTTTTCACCATGGCAACAACGGCGGCCTTCTGTGCGGGACTGACACGGCAGCACAAAACCGACTTGCACCGTTTGCACAGCAACAGGAACTTTTGCTTGAGATCATCGTGGAGAACCCATTTTAGAGTGAAGCCATCAATAACGAGACCGTGTGTGGGCTCGGGAGGCTCGTGGGTCTTCTTGGCAGCTGCCAGGTCCTCGTCGCTGCCAGTGAGGCCAAAGAGTTTCAGCTGATCATCGAGTTCCTTCTCCAGCGTACGGATGAACTGCTCGTCGGGGGTCTCGTGAGACTCATCCTCGTCAACCTTAAGATGGATCAACTCCATGTCGTTGTTCAGAAGGTTGCATGAGAAACCGATATTGATGGCCGTCTCGACCTTGTCACCAGTCAGCACCCAGAGCTTGATACCAGCCGCACCAAGTAGCTCAATTGTATCGGGGACGCCGTCTTGTAAGCGATCCTCAATAGCGGTTCCGCCCAAGAGCATCAGATCCTGCTCGATCAACTCGGCAACGGCATCCATCTTCTCCTCGCGACCCTCGATAGCAGAAGCTGCAATATCGTGCTTCTTCTTCCAGGCGTAGTATTCGTCCTCCGTCAGTTCGCGCTCCGCGATACAGAGTGTTCGGAGACCCTCTCGCGCAAACATCTCGAGATGCTCAGCCGTCGTCTGTCGAAGCTCCTTCTGCTCACCCCTCTTGAGCCTCGAGTAAATAATGCTGTCGGCTCCCTTGCAGAAAAGGACAAGCTTGCCGTCGGGCATTCTCACGATGGTGCTCATACGCTTTCGGGTGGAATTAAACTCGATAATATTGAGGATGGGGTATCGCCGATGCTCGCCCATGACGTTGAGATCAATATTGTCGCTCGAAGACGCTAAGACGGTGAAGCCCATATCCCTCGCCGTCGCAACTAGGGCGGCCTCATCGGGGGACTGCGCCTTGAAAATCATCTTGGGTTGGTCACCGGGTAACTTCTCCGGGATAACTGTATGACATAAAGCCAGCGCCAGCATGAATCGCTCAGTCGCATACTGCTGCTCCGCCGTCGTGTCACCGCCAAGGTCAGCAGCAAAATCGGGGGCAATGAAGGTGAGGTCTTCGTTGTGCAGATAAGGGTTGTCGTGTATCCGTCGTAGCCGAGCGAGGGCCTGAACCTTGGCCTCGGCTATTTCTTTCCTGACTCGCTCGCCCTCCTTCTCGACATCAACGCCTAGCCTCTTCTGCATTCCAGCCTGCGCTTCGGTGTAGGCTTCGCCGTACGGCTGGCCATTGATGGTTGCCTTCTTGAACTCCATGACATTCTGGGTTAGGGTTCCGGTCTTGTCGGAGAAGATGTACTCGATCTGACCGACGTCGTCCGAGATGTTCCACGACTTAGGAACACAAGGCTGGTCAATCTTGTCGTAGTACATCTCGACGTCGCTGTAAATGAAGATGGCCTGGAGAAGACGGACGATTTCGAGAGTGATGTACAGGGAGATGGGAACCAAGTTCTGGAACAGAATCACGGCAGCCCAGAAGGTAATAAAACCACTCATAGGGGGATTGCCACCAATGGAACCAAACTCGAAAAAGCGATGGGAAGCCTCCGTCTGTGCCCAGGTAGCGCCGTTGACAAGACCAGAGACAATACACATGATAAAGAGAACGACGAAATTGCAGATGACGCTAAAGTTAAGCTCCCGTGCTATCCTTGCACGCTTGCTTGGTGTAACACCAGCGTTCATCATGATTTTGGTGTCGTGGCCAGTGAATACGACGACGCCAAGAGCCCACTCGGTGTTGCGCAGAGTACATCCTCGGAGAAGCAGATTATCAATGCTAATGGGTTCGGTCATCTCTTCAGGCTCACCGTGGGGATCGTCGGGAAGTCGTTGGCGCCACCTTATGGCACCGTTGTACTTGTAAAGGTTCGGATGGGGGGTCTCGCTGTCGATCCAAAACTCGGCTCGTTCGCAGTCACGCGCGTGCTTGATCGTGCGGCCACACTGAAGAGCCGTACGGAACTTGAGATTCGTCTCACCGTCCAAGTTTTTGGTCTCGATGTAGCAGGCACCCTCGGGATCCGAAGTGGAAAGGATAATGATATCAGCAGGGAGCTCATCGTCGTTATGGATGCGAACGAAGTCGCCAACCCTAAGGTTCTTCCACGCATCAGGGTGGAATCTCGCCTTCCTCTCCGCCGGCTTATCATGGTTGATCATGTCCTTTTTCATCGTTCGGAGGACCTGGGCATGGTGACGCTCACGAGCCTCCACGTCCTCCTGGGTGACACCTTGAGGCAGAGGGGATGGAACAGGCGTCAACTGAATAGACTCCCTCGCCGAGACGAACGACTCGCGATTATTGGGCGACAGTATGGATCCGCGAAGGGTGACGCGGGTTTCGACCGACATACGGGGCTCGTCAGAGGCTTGCTCCTTCGCTCTCGCGCGTTCTTCCTTTGCCTTCTTGGACCAGGTGCTCTTGATGAACCTCCAAAATCTGACAATGGAGCGAGAGGTGGCCTTCTTGAAGCGCCGCCAATATGATACATTATCATCCTCCACATTGCTATTGTTCCAGTGCTGAAGTCGGTGGACAGGAGCATTATTCAACACGTTGTCAAGAATGGTTCGGCGCGAGTCTTCGATGGCATCCTTGATGGCGGTGACCGTAATGATGAAGATTAAAGGAACAGAATTAAGACCTGGATTTACACCTCCGAAAATGGGGAAGAACTTGATGAAAGAGAGAAGTGTCAGTTTATCAAAGAATGGCCCAGTCATTCGTGTCCAAGATCAACGATAGAGAACGAAAGCAAGGATGGGAGCATGAGCAGCGAGCAGTGTCCCTATACTCAGGCATTCGGACACGCACACCACACGAACAAGCAGGAGGGGATTGTACTTACGACTAGGATAACAGTGAAAAGGAAAAATATGTTTGCAACGTTGTGAAACTGGTACCAAAGGTTTTTAGGTATAAACGATAACGGTGTATACTTCGCTGTCCGAATTTTGTTTCGCGTGAATGATTGTGTTGGGGAACCAGACTCGTCGAGGAGATCTGGTGGTAACGGCAAGTTGAAGAAGAGTCTCCTACTCGCACTCTCGTCGCCATCATCTCCTTCGACGACGACATCGCCATTCTGCACGGATTCGGAGGCACCGGACATTCGACTCCCCTTCTCACCCGATGGAGAACCCTTTCGGGCCCCATTGAAAAGGGGGAATTTTCTTAAACTGCTGCGTACCGAAGCCATCTTCGGTTCTGCTCGCTCGCTCGCTTCGGCGGTCGTTCATAAACCAGGTCCTGCGAAAATAAAAAGGAGGCGCTCGTTGTTACTCGAGGCAGGTTCGTCACCAGCTCCCTTTAGGGACTCTGGCAATCCTGTTGGGACAGCTCGGGCGACAGCCCGAAGAATCCGAGGGTTCGCGCCAGGGCTGCCTCGGTCGTCGTGGTTGAGTTTCGTGTCCTTCTATTTCTCCAGCTTCGTATTGGGGCCTATTGAGCTCGAGGCCTGTTGTCACAATGGACTTGAGTTGGACGTTTAGGTGAAATGACGAAAGGGAGACTCGGGTGGAACACGATGGGCGACTCTGGGGGGCGTGGGACCTTAATAGCCTCGGCGGAGAGAGTTCGTAGAAATCGGGGGGATGTTTCGGGGATAGGGTGGGAATTAAGTTTTTTGTTCGCCGCCTCTGTCGGATCGCGAAATGCGAAATGGCCGTCGAAGAAAAGAAAAGAACGAGGTAGAGACGGAGCGACAACAGGGATGGGGAGGAAAAGACTGGAAAGGGAAGGAAAGGGAAGAATAATAACCTTCAATGTTCGCCGCAGGATGGAACGGGGTGTTTACAGGGCGGCGGTGTTGATGATCGCAAAAAGAACAAAGCCCCCTTGATGCCACGCAAGACCTTGAGCCAAGGAATTGAAGGGATCAAATGAAGCAGCACTGAGAAATGGCGAATGGGGTAAGAGAGCGGTGGGCGAAAAGTCCGGAAGGGCCGGGGAACAGAACACAGAAGGGTTGGTGGATTTAGAAATTGATTCTGGGCTGCGGTGGGTATTTCCATGCTACACGACACTACACTACCATCGATGTCCAGCGATAGTGTACAGCACTGCAGTAGTGCAGCAATGTAATGGTGCATACAATTTTAACGCATAGGTTAGGCGGAGAACGTTGCAAGCAAGCAATCAATCTCAGTGAGGCTTTGGCGGGGATTACATACATCACAACACTCCGAACTAGGGAGTTGCCAGTCACTAGCTTGAGAATGGGGGCCACTACTGGTCTGGCGGGGTTCCCCTTGATCCTAAGTACTTTGCTCCAAGGGATCAATCATCGATGTGTGCGGATTTAATGCAGAACATACCTCAGCTCGAAGTATCTTCCTACTTTAAATGGGCGTAATGATACATTCGCTGACACAATCCAGCGTCGCTCGAAGAGGAATAGGGGGACGGAGCTGGAGTACTGGACGAACTCGGGTTGTACCATGCTAGATCAATACTTCGTTCTTCCCGAACCAAGTCGTCACAAGTCGCCGCGTACCATTCCATTGATGGATCCAATGTGCTTGTGTCATCTCGCACTTCGGTACTCCATAATGCTTAGCATAGCATCAATCAATCCATCCCATCGATACAAATTTGACGCGATGGCTTGGGAGGGATGGTTTGAAGGGACTCTCGAAGGATTGAATTGTAAACTGTTACTTCTCTGCTTCGGACAAAATACAGAGCGGCGCTACATTGCCTTACCGACACTACACGACACAACTGACTCTTCCAGGTACCTCCCTGCTGCTTGACTTTCCCTCCTCCATTGACCAAATCTTGGAACCCCCGCGAATTGAAAGGGTGCGATCGGCTCCGGCACAGAATGGACTGAATGAGGTATTAGCGTGCGAGCAATATGCTCCAATGATGCCGAACGTCCTGTCGGCGACTCCACCATCACCGCACTTGACATCGCGTTCCACTACGTATGAGAGAGTATTACTCACTTCGATGAGACTAGATCCATCGCCATTGATTTCCTATTAATAAATCTGATCCAGGATCATTATTCATTCGGCGAGCCTATTTCGTCCTTGCTCCGTAACATTGGAGTGTATGTACATACGCAACCCGTTCACGAAACACGACAAACCTACAAGTAGCAGAACTACAGGGGTCGGTCACAGCCCTGAGACCTAAGATCTGTCCTGAACTACATACCCAGGCCTAGGGCCGGGGGGGTTTAGACCATCCAGACATAGATCGGTAGCTCTACCGAGTCTAAGCCGCAACTGAACGAAGCACAATTACGAAGTACGAAAGTAATTACAACTAATAATTAGGAAAACGGGCGATCGCTGAGTCCCGGTTGCCCGTAGTCTCCCCGCGTCGGTCGCTCTCCAGCGCGTTCCTATTATCACCCATTGATGCTTGTCCAGTGTCCCATTTCTGGCGTGGGATTTCTGTGCTGGATCGTTGATGCAAATTAAACCCGCTCGAAGAGGGGCGTGCTTTGCTGGCCGGTTCGGTCGACCAATGCATGCTCAGCCCAGGTCAATGTTGGAAATTTGGGTTTAGGTTTACCCGACTCCCTACATATAGTTAAAGTTGGTACATCAGCACTCAATGTCCTACCAAGTACACTACTCCCTGACACCCTGAATTTATCAGCTTCGCGACTATCATGATCGGCGGTCAGAAGGTGTGGGTGTGATCTGAACATTGAATGCCTGGTTTGCTGGGGTGATAAGAAAAATGGAATCCTATTAAGAATTGGAATTTTGCATTACATAGGAGAGAGAGGGGCTGAGGAGAGAGGAGCTTCGACTGAAGTCAAGGAGCAAGTTGAGCTTATCAATTCATCTCCATCGTCCATCAGAGTTTTGTATTATGTGACATTGACAGAGGCCGGAGATCGACTCTGTTCATGATACAATCGAATTGTAATACAATAGTAAGTCGAGAAGTACTGATTGAAAGAGCCTTCAAATTCGTTCGCCACGCCGTGTCATCAACACCAACTTGCGCCTTCCCAAAGCATCCTTGAAACGATCCCGGATCCGCGCTGGTGATGGAGAAACTAACTTTCGTACCTCGTACTGTGCTCGTCACTCATCGTCGTCTTCATTTTGCCTACTTTGTTTGTGTATTAATTTAAAAATGCTAGTCCAGTGCGGGGGGTTTGGGGGTTCCCAGAATCCGGGCGGCGTTTGCGGACCGTCCGGCGTAACTGTCAGTGGCTGACGATAAAAATGCGCCTACCTCCTAAACTTCATCACCGAAGAATTCGGACGGAATGATCTAGGATCGCGCTTTGCGACGCTACAAAAGACCCTTCTTGCGTCGCGGTCATCGATATTGTGCAAAGCACGAAAAGTACGGAGAACGGGAAGTTGGGAAGAGCCCGCCGGTCTGTGTGCCTAGTCCGCATTGGGCTAGTAAAATTAACCTGAGCTTCCAGTACGAGGCCAAGACATTCGCTTCCATCGTTTTGACCACGATCAAGTACGTGCTCCATACGATAATAAGGAGATGCAGATGCCACCTATCGTCGGAGGCGCATACCAAGGCGGTGATTTGTTTCTCTGGGCTTCCACCTGCATGTTGTCAAATGGGGACTGAACCGGAATTGGGATGCATGTGTCCCTGACGTCTCGAAATCGACTTCGTCTTTTCTTTGGCCAACTTAGGAAACGGTAAAATAGAGTGCATCTCGCTTTGACTACTAGTTTATTATCCCGTTCTTTCATCGCTGTTGGAGTGGCTGAAGGGACCTTCCTTTCTGCTGGGCCACGTTCCTTCGACGGGCAGCCATACACTTCGTACACACGTTCCTTGGAGAGGGTGTCAGGGTCCAAGGCGCAGAGTTCTTGTGTTTTAAGTGCGAGGCCCTCAATTAAGGGGTAATCGAAGGCATTTCGATCTGGGACGTTGATATGAATTCGGTGTCTCTGTCCGGCCAGTCGGCGTTGAAGACCCTACCCGCTACAGATGGCGCTCGTTGAGTCTTACCAGTCTGTGCCGCTTTGGCAACACCACGTATGTCGCTGGTTCATGGTGAGACTACCGAAGATTGGAAGAGGATCCATGTTTTGAAGTCATAAATAAGCCCGTCCCAGCCCACAACAGGAATTTCGGCTACGGACGAGGCACATCCATCTGGATTTTGTGGGAAATAATTAGAAACTCTCCCCAAAATACGACCAAAAATCCCGTGTCCTGCGGCGCTCCAACCTACCCTGCATGGGATGAAACATGAAACGGAGAGGAACAAGCACACCCATCACCTCGCGGAATACCGCCGGCTAACTTTTGTAGAAGGACCTGGAAGGCTGACAGATCTGACTTGGGCTCACGTCTATTACGAAGTCAGATTCGACGTGGCTTGATTCGTTGGGTGTGTCTCCCGCTGATGCTGTCAACCTCGAGGTAATATGGGCTGGTACATCTAATGTGTGAGAAGGAATACAATCTCGGTGATGTTCCAATAAGCTTTTCTGTAGTTATTACTCCAAGTTGTAAGGCTTGAGGATCTTCGATGGGATTGTAATTGTAGTCGTCCGCAGTAAGTCCGAATAATACTGATGGTGGATGTTTAGAGGAAGATCATATCAGCCGGTTACCCAGAATACCACCCTCTCTAACATTTTCACCTGGAACCAACGGTTCCTGGCTACTCAGCTTCAAACACTATGCGAGCCCTTTGTGCCTCTTGCGCGATCCTATAGAGTTTCATCTTACCCGGATCACCGGGTCAGAGAGAATACCCGACTTAGGCTCTCATCTTAAGACTGCACACTTGCTGAGTCGAGGGCATCGGAACCGGTCGACAGTCGGAGGCATCTCTATCACACAGCAAGCTCAAGAGAAGCATACTTTGAAGTCAAGGAAATGTTGCCGTCGGTGTGCTTCCAACGTTCTAATGGTGGCCCCTTGCAGGGAATAAAGTGGAAATGTTCTCGTGGCAGCTCCACTTGCTCTTAATGTCCAACTAAGGCAAGAGGAATCCCAAGTAAGGATCTGTACATTATAAAAATATAAAATAAAATAATAGCAAAACTCTGTATGGAAGACCGCTCGCATCAATCCATTGCCATTGACGGGATTGCAGAGTCAGGAAAGTGGTTGCGGTTCAACAATCTGGGTTAAGTGTTGATGCACACACCTGGAGCCAGTTGGTCCAATTGTCTCAACAGTGCCAGGCCTAACGTCCAACAACTGAGGTGGAAAAAAATAGGGCGACAGCGGCGCTAGCACTGACAACCCGCACTGTCCTGATTCTAGTCTATCCTGATTCCTTGCTACCGCCAACGCGCTTCGCTTGGTCGCGTCGACAGGGCTGAACCACGGGTTAAGTGCAGACCAGGCAACACCAGCATTTCAACATCCCACAGCCTCGGACGGTCCCGAACAATACTGAGCCTTCCACCAAACCTGACGGAATACTGCGATTCTCAAGCAAAGCTTGTGGGCCAGAGTCGATTTCTATCAAGGAACCGTCGTGAGGCTCGGGTTCTTTGCGACGGCTCTGGTGAATCATGTCTTCGATGCCCAAGAGGAAGAAAGTGCCCGCATCAGGCGGCATCAGGAATTACTTCGCACCTATTCAAAGACCCCAGAAAATACCCAGCTCATCTCAGGCATCCTCCAGCGCCCTCAGCGCTCTAACAGTTACACCAACACCACCTGACGCGGCTCTGACTCTGAGTCCTCCGTTACAGGATGCAATCGTTGTCCAGACATCTCCGCCCAGGCTCGGCTCTGTCTCCTTACCGGTCACCCCAAAGAAACCCGAGCCAAGGAGACCAGTGAGCAGGGATGCAGTCATCGCCGCTTCCGACGATGAAGACAGCGATGTCTCCTTCGAGGCCCTAGAGGACATCTTGGCCGCTCGCCAATGCCCCGCTACTCCGGCGAAGTGTCGGACGCCTAACGCAATGTTCTCAACTCCTCAGAGGAAGAGGGGAGACTCCATCTTCTCGTCGCCTCTAACTATCCAGCCGCGAGAGCCCCAGTTCAAAATGGCTGACCTGCTCAACGCTGCAAAGAGGGATAGTAACATCGAGGCCAGTCTGTCGCGCTTTCACGAACGGGAGAAAGATACAGGCGTGAAAAAGTTTGAGTTTAAGCTGGCAGGCGAGTCCTTGCGTCGAACCCTGGAAGCTACCGTGGGCGATGAGCATGACCATAGGTTGGACAAGGTGGTCAGGGCTGTGGAGCGGACTGAGCCTATCTCCAAGAGAGGAGGCTGGTTCTTCTTTCAGCCTGCTGAAGAGACTCGCCTCTCCAATCGCCATAAATTTCCATCTAGATCCGTAAACGCCATCTGTGGTAGGCAACCAGCCGTCAAGCATGAAAAGGATCTTGATTTAAACTACCTCAACAAGTCCATGCGTCTTACCAAATCTCCGCTTCCAGATGAACTCTTTTTGTGGCTCTTGGATGAGCTCTGCACCGAGAGGTCTGGTATGAGGAGAGAAGGCATGTGTGAACTGGTGCGGCTCTGCAGCGATGACATTGCCGCCGACAAACTCACCCCGAGATATCTTGAGGGGTTGTTCTTGCGCCTCGGCGCAAATCAAGACATCAAGTCTCTTTCCAAGAAAAAGAGGCTGAAGCCCGTCCGATCCTCTGACGAAGGGTTTTACAAGCGAGACTGGCAATGTTTGTGCTCAGTTCTTAACATGGTCTGGATTATTGCTGAGAAGCTTTCAACCGAATCGTCAGTCTATCTCATCCAGCTCCTCATCGCCATGTCCGTGGATCCTGAACTTTTACACGATCCTGGGGTAATGGTTTCGTACCGGCATCTTCTCCATCAACTCGTGGCTGTGCTGCCGAGGGAGCAGTGGGATAACATTGTGAGTCCAATGTTGCTACTTACTCTGCTAGTCACCATCCTACTTTCTAACAGACAGAGTAGTGCGAGGAGGTAACCTCGACCATATATTACTCGTTCACCTCGGCTCCAATGCGTCTCAGGTCACTTCAGACCCTACCCCCAACAAACACTAGAATGCATGACTTGAGGCGACGGATGGCTGCCGTCTATTTCTTTAACGATATCTCATTTGCAAGGCAATCTCCCGACCTGTCATTCACTTTGACAGATATTAGGCAGCACCTGCAGAGTAGCAAGTTCAAAATCAAGTCCGACACGGATTATGACGAACTTAGAGCACTGGTCCTTCTGCTTGACATGACCATCGACTCCGGATTCAAGTCCGATACTACCGATCCCTTGCAGCACGATATCGCGAGAAAATCGTTTGACGAGGAAATCGACAACATCACCACCCTCCTCAAAGAGCTCGCAAGAAGCATCAATGATGCGGGGATGAAGTCCATCGTTCCGATGGAGGCCAAGCTGGCCATGGAATGGGTTGGCGAGAGACTAACCTACACCGTCCGCACGAAACCAGTGCCCAAGATTAGCATTTATGACATACCAGGCCCGGTAAGCCCGGACAGATCTCTGCCGAAGCAGCAAAACTACATGAAGAACTTTTTACAAGGTCGACTGAGGGACTCTAGATCCTCCAGCACGACGCCGGCTAGGAGAGCGTCGCCTGGAAGTGACAGACTCAAAAATGGGAAATAGAATTCTCTTTGGCGTCTAGTGTAATGGTGTCTTTTTTTTTTCCGGGACAGCGGTCATTTACGAGTAATGATGAGAATGACGGAATTTCGGACTGGAGACTTCAGAAGATGGGAATGCAATATTGCTAGTTGATGTCGCTCATGGAAGATGCAACAGACCGGCAGTCTTACTTACGCCGGTTCGAGTCGTACCCCTCTAATACCAAACAAATAGAAATGAAAATATAGAATACTCTGAAAGGAAACAGGAGAAAGACAACCATGCTAAAGGTCCCACCAGCCAACGCAGCCCATTTCCTAAGAGTTGCAGACAAACACCATGAGTGAGAAAAAGAAAAGAGACGAAATACCAAGATCCCAGGCCCCGAGTATATTTAGTCGAAGAACTTGCGGTTATTGTTTTCGCCGAACAGGGTCTCCCGCACAGCTGGGAGCGAAGAGTCCTTGAGAAGCTCTAGCCGGGTATCGAGGGTGTTGTCCATAATGATCTTGCCTCCTTGTCCGAGAATAACGACACCACCAGCACTAGAACAAGAATCGTTATTAGCCACTATAGCCAATATTATAATTGTTTTATAACTTACCTGTCCTCCGGTAGCGGCTTCGACTCATCGAGCTCAGCCTTGGTAGTCTTTCCAACCTTCTCCTTGTACTCTGCCACCGCGAGTTCGATGGCATCCTTGACAAGGCCAAAGTCCTCTTTCCTCGCCCTCACCTGCACGGAAGCGTCGTTAAAGGCATAAAGACCCTCGAGCACAAGGTTCTTCAGCGTTCCCTTGTACTTGCCCTTATCCTTGGTGCCCTCCTCGAGCTTCTTCTCGGCCTCGTCAAAAACGGCGTCGACGACGCGCTGAGCGGCCGTAAGGATGGTGATGCGAGCCTTAGAGTTGGCTTTGGAGCGGGTGATCTGGAGGGACATGGCGGCCTGCTTGAACTTCTTCTCATAGGCCGCGTCGATACCACCCTTCTCCTGGAGGATGAGAGCGGACTTGTCCTTTTCGAAGTCTTGGTCGGCTTTGATGTGGATTTCACGGGCTTTTTCTTGGGCTTCGAGCTTGATGAACTCGGTCATCTTGCGGAGCTCGACTCCGACCTGTTATGTGTGGACGCGGGGGGAAGAGGCGCCATGGTCAGCTATATGTTCTGTTGCCGTCGCTTGTTGTATTGTTGGGACTGTAGAATGGGTATAGAGAGTTGGTTGCCGCATTTACCTGGGAGTCAGACAAAGGTCCAGCTGTAGTTACAGACATCTTGGGTAGCGGTCGTTCACGAGATAGATCTTAGAGGGGAAGCTGCGGCGGGATTTTGGACAGAGCAAACGATAGCTCAAGCTTTGGGAAACACGATCGCGGGAAACTGCAGTCGACAAGCAAACCAGGTCGAAAATACGTTGCAAATTAGCTGGCAGAGGGAAGAGGAGCCACGGAACTGGAGTGGGCTGTGGGAGGATATCACCGGCGCTCTCTTAGATCGTTATGCTGGGCATTGGCAGGTGAACAGGGAATTGAAGCTCGTCATCAGCCTTTGGCGGAGCACGGGGACCTTCCGCCTGCCGTCGGGTGGCAGCCACAGTGGGACAGCTTCTAAAAATGCCCCTCTTCAGGCTGCCGAATTAATTAGATTAGTTCTCTCAACACAACAGAACGTGCTTCCCTGTGACATCACCCGCCAAGTTTTGCCCCCAGAATCTCGTTTGTCACGTGATTGAATCAGCGCCACAGATGGGGCGTAGGCTGGCCTGGGACACGGCATTCGATGTTGTGCGACGCTAGAGCACTGACAACGCAACAATGCTGAGTGCCGCTGTCTGGGGACGGGATAGAATAGATTAAGGCTTGGTACCCGGCGGTGTTTCAAAACAGCAACAACCCAAGCCAGAACACATCACCATTGCGAACACAGTGGAACTGAATACAAAAAGCATGGGGATCTCCGAATAGACGAGGCTTCCGTTGCCTTGTATGTGCATCCCACATCTCTCTCCTGTCAGCGCCTCTGGAAAGGCGTGTCAGGCCACAGTACAACCCTAGGCTCCGCCCCTAGGAGATGAGAGGCGCCCATACCTTCCGACGCTCTTGACCGCTTCAAGATCTCGTTCCACAACAAATACCCACCTTCACATCTTCAAATACCACCTTTTACATGCCTTCGATCGAGTCGCCTTTACCTCAAAAACCCACAGACAAACTCACAACCCGCTGAAGCCATACTATCTGGAGCCTGGTCACCAATGACACCTGAGCTTCCTCGGGCGCAATGGGGTCCATTGGAGGCATCTCTCCGGGAGGGAGTATCGCCGTATGTGTTCCTTTCCTTCCCCCCATTCTGTCTAACCTCACGTGTCGCATATGTTAACATGGTTTGTTATTGTTTTTTGTCTAGCTTGGAATTATAGTTGGCCTCGTTTCCACTAGTGTCCAGAGCCTGGGCTTAACCCTCCAACGAAAGTCGCATATCCTCGAGGATGAGAAAGGACCTCACGACGTCCGCCGACCACCCCATCGACGGCGGAGATGGCAGCTTGGCATGGGCATGTTTATAGTTGCGAACATCCTAGGTAGCTCGGTGCAGATATCGACGTTGCCTCTACCCGTACTTTCGACCTTGCAGGCCTCAGGCCTCGTCTTCAACTCCATATGCGCGACCCTGATATTAGGCGAACCCTTCACGAGATGGTCCCTATGGGGTACTTTATTAGTGTGCACCGGCGCCGTGCTGATTGCGATATTCGGCGCCATCCCGTCTCCGCCTCATAACCTCCATGAGCTTCTGGAATTGCTCGTGAGAGGCCCATTTGTCGCCTGGATGATCTTCCAGGCCTTCCTCGTCACCCTCATCGCCTTGGTGACGGAGTTCGTAAACACTCTATTTCCCCATCTGTCGCAGAGTGTGCGGTTCCGCTTCGGAAGGGGACTTGCATTCGGGTGCATAAGCGGCATCCTGTCGGCCCACTCGCTCCTGGTTGCCAAGTCTGCCGTGGAGTTGGTCATCAAGACGCTCGTCGACGGAGACAACCAGTTCGTGCACTGGCAGTCGTGGATGCTGGTGCTCGCACTCGTCGTACTGGCTCTAAGTCAGCTGTACTACCTCCACCGAGGTCTCAAGCTCGTCTCGACCTCGGTTTTATACCCCTTAGTGTTTTGCATTTACAACATCATGGCTATCTTAGACGGATTAATCTACTTTAACCAGACAAACCTCATTAGCACCCTACAGGCGTGCTTAATTACCCTTGGCACGGTAATTCTGCTATCAGGCGTGCTCGCTCTCTCGTGGAGACTGAGTGACGAGCAACACCCACCAGCCGTGGGCCAGTCCTCACTCGCACCGGGCCTAGGCCTCGTCGATGACACCGAAGGAGAAGAAGAGGAAGAACTACTCATAGACTCGGACGTTCTAGACGAAGAGTCCGGTTTCTCATCGCAATACCAAACATTCCCCACAACCCCCCGGGACGTAGAGGCACCCCTCAGCCCATCATCCCGAAGACAATCCTTCCGATGGCAGGAACGCGCAGAAATCTGGGGCGAATTGGAGGATCGCGACGAACCCAGCAGCCCCAAACACATAAGGAGACGCTCTACAACCATGCTCCCCCCAACCGAGACGACGCATCTCCTTGGCGCTGGCACGCGTCGCGTGGCAAGCAGCGCCGGCATCTTCACCACTCAGGCACCATCCGGTGGGTCCGCGGCCGATTCTTCCCCTGTTGGCGGTCGCCGCGCGTTCCGGAAACGCAGGAAATCTACGGGTTTCCCTGGTTTCACGGCGCGGAGACCGAGGAGGGGCGGCGTTGCTCTCCAGGATGCCATTGGCGGTATCTGGAAGCTAGGCTGGTGGAATAAGCCTAGGGATGCGTCCGGCCGCATATCTTCGGGGAGCGGCCACACAGCCTGGCCGCGGAGGCATAGGGATGGCGATCCGAGGCACTCTCCTCGCGGGCGCGACGCGTCTGATGACGTGAGCCCTGGCGCGGGACAGCCTCCACCTGGTGATGAGCCGTCGTCTTCGAGTCGTGGGGACGATCGGTCTGTATGATTATTGAGCCTGAGTGCTGAATTTGCTAGAAATAACTGTTCTATTTTCTTGTTTCGTCTTCCTTTTGGAATACGTCGTTGGGCCTGTATCCCTATGTTCAGTGTTTGAGTCCTATATCCAGCTTGGTTGATGCAGCGAGAGGCGTATGGTGCGTCGTATACACACATATATACATCTATATATATATATATATCAGACTACTTTTTTGGGGTCCTGAATTCCTTTCCTAGGCTAGCTTATGGTGATTGGACTGGCAGCTGGACTTGGGTGCTTTGATGTTCTTTCCAAGCGAGGCGAGCCTCCATTGTAGGGTTCTCGATTTACTCGTTCAAGGGGATCAGTAGTAGTGGTAATCACTCAAGTTCATTATTGATCACATCAAGCAAATGCACCATATTCGATCAGTCCCGGAAGATAGCATGAAGTGTGAACAATCTCTATATCGATTTCGCACAGATAGTCTCCTAAGATGTCGGTTGAGCTTGTCAACAACCACCACGGAAAAGAGACCACATAGATCCTACCCAAGAAGCCCAGAATGCCTCCTAGGTGCAGAACTAGTGTGATCTCTGATAAAACAGACTTGACAGATGTGCATGTCATGTTGCCTAGCCGTTTCTCTCAACCTCACACCACGGGCCTTGCCCCAATCACCCACGGGTCCAAACCACACACATTTTCCACTCCCTGCCCCCTCGCTCCATCTGAAATCCAGGAAAAAAAATGTCTTTAAGCAAAAGAAACGTAATATGTATAGGTATATAAACAAAAAAAGACGATCTTCGCGAATCGTTATCACGGCTAATGCGGGAGAAAGGATGTGGCGAGCTATCTACAAGTCGAATTTGGGAAAATCGGACCAGACTGCTAAAAACCCCTTGGGGTAAATGGCGGCCCTTAGAATGGAAGTGGAGCCTGCCAGGGATAAGAGAATCGAAGAGAGCAAGCGGAATAAGGGCGCCCCGAAATTCGGGTTTTAGATACCGGTATAACCGGTCTTCTCATCGATATGTCGGTATCGCTCACGCTCCTTGCGATCCTTGAGGAGGCAGGCAATGCTCAAGATGAGGACGGCGTCGACACCTGAGTGGGGGTGTAAGTAAACAGCAACTTAAGAGGGTGAATGGAGGATGATATGGAGGAGTTTACATACCAACCATGCCAAAGACGGCGGTGAAGATGTCGTCGATGAAGATGTTGCTGAAGGAGGTGATGGGCGCGGCACATCCGATCATAAGAGCCGCCGCGGCGGGGCTAGGGCAGGCCGGATTCGTAACAAACGCTGGAGAGGTGCTGTTGAAGTAGCCGCAGCACTCGAACTATTGGGCATGTTAGTAGGGACCAAGCGTCAACCTCTCTAATAACAAGGGGAAGGAAAGCGTACGGAAGTTTGCATAAGATCCTGAACGGGGGCTTCCTGGCGCATCCAGATCTGGAAGAAGTCCGCCTTGGTGCGGAGGGTAAGAATCCAAAGATAGATACCGATACACAAGCTGAATAGTCCGCAAACGGTGACGAGACCTCCACTAAGCTTAAGCCAACCTCGGGCAGGGGTAACGAGTCCGGGAAGCGTCATGGCGAAAGTAACGAAGATCATGATGGCGTTGACGATGCCGGCCTGCAAAGGAAACCTCTGATAAAGCAAGTTTCGTGCCGCCTGCATTCCATCGGTGGCCTGTTCACCCATTACCCTCTTCACGATCAGGGCGAATCCGAGTTGGAAAGCGCCCGACGCTAGGAAGAGGATGTCGGCGACCACCGTCGTCAGGACAATCTTGTTCACCATCTTGCCGAGAGGGAGCAGCCCTAAATCCGAGCCAGATGCCTACAGAAGCCTGGCTGCTCTAGCGTCCTATATCTGGTGGAACTTGACGACGTTCGGGTCGGCCCTGATTGATAGCACTTGATCCGTTGATTAAATCGGCGCGTGAACGAATCGGAATAGTATGACGACCGGCGTCTTGGTTTAAACCTCGTGGTCGGAGATGAATTGGCGTCCTCGACGCGAATATGAACTTGTCGAAAGGATACTCGGGTTCGACCAGCAACTACCAACACACCTGTTTGCAACCAAAGAAACGAATATCAAGAAACGAGTTTGTTTGAAGAGAAGGCAAGGAAGCCTACTAAGTAGGGATGAGAAACGAAGTAGAGAAAAGAAGGGAAAGGTTAGGAATGAAGTCCGGCCTCAGGTCGAGAGTAAACCCCAAGCCATCCAGCAGCATCCATCAAAATGCACGATGGGTTGAAAAGAACGTTGTAAACGGCAAGGGATAAGAGAGAAGAGAACAAGAGAAGGGAGAGGGGGCACGAAGAATCAGCCACGCAGCAAGGCAGAGAGAATGGATGGGGCCAGTCCAGGGCTCCTCAAACATGAGACAGAGTATGGTAACAGAGAGGAAAGAGACCCTAGAAACGACCACCAAAGCGCCAGTGAGATCGAACGAGACCCATTTTGACGAGGGACGACCAGGGCGAATTGATCCACTATTCCCGACAGGAGACGTTTCAGCCTGGGGTCGATTTTGATGCAGATTTGGAGAGCCTAGGCGAATCTGAGCAAATCGTCCATCGCGCACGTGCCAATCGGCGCTCAATTGCGATGCTGCGGGAAGGTGCGACCAATCAGCGGCAGGAATCACCACTTCCAAGAGGGATGGTCTCCCTGTCTTAAAGGTCTTCAATATGGTCAAACCTACGATGCTTCAACACAGAGAGCGAATCACGCCCGGAGACACGCAAAAAAAGATGCAACGGCAGAGTAGGAGCACGAAGTAGAATGGCACGTCACGACCCCCACTGCCGAGGACTGCCCTGCTATACTGTCTGTGCCTCTCAAGGTCACGGGACCCTGAACCATCCTCCTTCGATGGAAGAGCCTATTTCGGACATTTCTATGAAGTACGAAGGATCACCACGAGAATGCAGCCCAGTCGGAATTAAAGTAGTCACTTGCGCCAAAAGCAATATGTTCCGGACGGCGGCCTCGATTCAGACAAAGTAGCCAAGGTAAGTTAAAACGGTTAAAAAGAAAATAAAAAGAAGGAAAGAAGACGCCCCACGACGCTAGGGAGGGGATTGAAGAACTCCTTCAGTATTATTAACGGAACGAAATGAATGAAACTCTCATCAATGCTTTATTTCGTCTTCTGGGCAAGTCTAGTCCAGCCTCAGCCTCACTCGAGGTCTGCATGCGACTCTGATCTGGACTGGTGTTGCAATTGCATTTGTCCATGCTCAAAGCGAAAGGAAGAGCAAGAACCCTTCCATTCTCGCCTCGTCTCATCAGTTGCTGCGATTGAGAGGGCCTGGCTCGCCAAGGACCAATATGCCAGAAGTCCAATTCTACAAAATATTCGGTATTTACGAGGCAGGTTCGAGTCCCCCACGGTTGGACATCGCAGGCTCTGGGCGCATCTCCTGGCCGAAATATTCCAAGATTTTAAAACGAAGAATTGCGCAAGGTGCAATCCTGCCAGTCAGGGCATCAAAGCATTTCTGATCTTGTCCTAGCCTCTTCCCGAAAGTGCAGTGAATACCCTATTCCGCAATCATACTAGGACTCGCCAGGAGAGGAAACCGAACCGCCCAGAGAACCCCAGATGGTTGCAGCTCTCCTCCCAAGACCTGGGGTCAACGTTCCGGAACTTCGGCTCAGAATAGGGGTCTTAGCCAAGAGTCGTTGAAAGGGAGCCCAGGTCACGAAGTGGCTCCAATTCAGCAGGGTCCACAAATTAATACTAGTCCACAGCGTCGCACTGCCGCTACCAGATTCATCAATGAAAATAATGAAGTGGGCATTGAGTTCCGAAAGTTTGGCGGAGGCGTTGGAGGGAGAGTTAGCTTGTATGCCCATCCTTCGTAAACTATACATGCATGCTCATGCTGTGCGGGAAGTCGACCATGAGACTGTCATGCTCGACTTGAACGCGAATCTCATCATTAACACGATGGGACCAGCCAGTGGACTAATCCTTTCCAAGAACTTTGCTCATTACAGATTGATCTCGGAATGGCAGGTATCTCCTCGGCCATTGCGAGATGCGCAGGTGCTGCTAGTGTGCTTGAAGCAGATATAAGCCGTCCTCGATTACTCGCATACACACGGACAAACAAGGGACACATCTCCCAACAACAGCAACCAGGCCAGATAAAAAGGTACAAAAGTACTTCGTACGGCATCCTTAGGCAAGGGTAACATGAACGATCGCTGCTGGTTCTGAATACAGCACAGGGTACATTAGTTTACTTCGTCCTATGGGGAACGTCGAGATTCACGCCTTCTCCGCGTCGTGCCATAATGTCTTGAGAGAAGCAAACTACATATGCCTAACATTCCGTGTTGTGCCGACGTTGTGGATGCCCCTCTCGTCTCAAGAGAGCACAAGCGTGCCCCCAGCATGTACAACCCGAGGACCGTCTTAATAATAGCAATACTTCGTCCTTTCGGACAGGGAAGGTTACGAAAAGACTCGTGGGCGAGGGACGGGAAACATGGGCTTCTTGGTGGTTGGTGGATGATGAAGTTTGCTGATCCTTGGCAGGATTTGCTGGGTACATAGGTTTATATGCAAAGTCCAGGACCGCACATCCTTCAAGCAGCACCAATGGACGCAGGCTCAGTGTGCTGACCGCGCTCTTCATTGGAGGGCCAGCCAGCCAGCCATCCACCACCACCCACCGTAATGCATTCGATCCTTTTATAAGCGGCCAAGGTTTCCCGCCATAGGCGGCATGACAATAGTGCAGCAGGCTAGTGCCGAAATCCGGGGGGAATATTGGGAGAGAGGGGGAAGTGACCGGCCGAACATCATGTCATCTCCTCCAAGCCAAGTGTGGAGTATTTGCAGGCTGATTGGCAGCAATTGCCTACCATTGGCCTGAGAGAGGAAATTATAGACTCACTAGTGGATAGAAACTGTAGATCCGCTAGGTTAGGAGTAATACTGCACCCACAGCAGAGCTCTGAAGTCCACGACAGTACCACTACGTGGTGGGGCGACTCACGGAATTTAATATTGTCCATGAAAGAACCCGAAGACCAGGGCTGTGATGAAAGATTAGCCCATGTCATTGGCCAAAGCGAACCCTGCAGTATCTGTCCCCTCCCTCGTACTCCGCACATTTCGATTCTGCAAATACTTCGTACTTGGCGCTGTGCTGCGCACCTCGTACTTGGGCTCGGTATTCAGGTGTGCAGGAATAATGGACATTAGGCAATGTTCTGCAGGGATGGGATGGGATGGGTGGAGTGAGTAGGCTGGGAGGCTAGTGGGCAAGTCATCAGCCACTCTGCCGAGGCAGCAACAGCCGATGTGAGACTGGAAAGCAGATGAAGATGAACGACCACTTGTTCATCTTTCACAGTATACTCACAAGAAAGAGAGGAGGTCTAGCACCAACCTTGACGACACGCCGATGCCCCGAGGCATCTGGGGATCGTCTTCTCCTCTCATCAGCGCCGCATCAACTATGATCCCATCTAATTGAGAATCAGTCGCGAGGCTGAATGGAAACAATGGAGAGCATTGATGTCAGGAAAGGAGAACACGGATTGAATGCTCCAAGTACTTCGTACTCCGTGCCAAAATGAAATCCCTTGCGCGGTGGACACAGCCAAAGTACCCCGATATCATGCGCAACTCCATGACGCCTCCAGACGGTCTTGGGGTTCCAAAAAGTCGTGGATGCTGGGATCATGACCAAGTGGAGGTTGCATTACAGCGTGCCGCAGCTGGCTGGGGTTCAACGAACGGTCCTCGACCTATGGCATTGGAGGGGAAAGGTAAGGAGTACGTACTCCATACGAAGTTCCTCGTTAGGATAATCTTACTTCAAGAGGATTAAAGGTCGAGGGTTCAGGGACAAGGGTAACGGCGGGCAGTATTGCCCCCTGCTGAGCCTGAACACGAAGCAGATCCAAAAGCTGGGACAGGATTCTCCGTTTCTCTCAGTACCAAGAGGCCGAAGGTTACCGCTCCCGGCCCCAGACTTCGTCATCTCAGAATGGCTCGATGAGTTGAGATGACCAAAGACCAGGCACTCCCTTCCCAATTGCTATCGCCACCACCAGACGGCGACCGAAAGATCTGAGCAGGCTGGACTCTACGGAGTACAAGTAGACTTCGGACTGCTGTCTTTCGCATGTACCTTTGTGTGCAACCCTGGAAGGTCCCGGGTGCATCCCCTCGACACGACAATGCTGCAAGCAGTCCCAAAAGTGGAGTCCCTTGCCTGGGTGTACCAGAAGCACCAAATTATCGATGAAATCTCGATGATAGCCCTTTTTCCCGTTTTCAAGCCGCACGTCCTCGTTAAGATTCATACTTCGTTGTGGACGAAGTACACCCCACCTAGCCGAAGCATTATCCATGCTCACCCCATCGTTCGCCTCTGGCAAGTGTACGAAGCAGTACAATCATTACGTTTCTGACCGGTTCAAATAAGAACCCTGTCATATATTATTCACCAGTGTGCCGACTTCTTGATGTATTTACAGTATTTATGGTGAATTGATACTGTGTAATTATATTCGGTGCGGGCGGGCCTTGAAGTGAGAATCTACATTGCGAAGTACGAAGTAGAAGTACGTGTTGAAGTATTACGAGCCGGACTCTGAAGGAAGGGCGAGTTGGTCTCTTCGCGTTAACTATAACTTCGTAATCATACTCCGCGCTTGGCTGTGTGGGTCTCTTGATTCGATGATGATTCATCACTGGGACCGACTTGAAGGTTCTTAAAGACACAGTTAATATCTACAAGGTATGGAAAATTGGTAACGAATCCCGGATCAGTTAAATTGAATCTATATATAGTGTAAACTCATCATCAAAATTGGGAAGGAATCACAAAGTTAGCAGTACATGGTCGCTCGTGCTCATGAGAATGGAAGTAAGTGTAAATGTACTTCGTACAACCGCAGACTTGAACGACACCTCTTCTGAGAAGTATAAGTACCTCGCTTTCCATTCTAAAGACGACCTCGCAAAGGGCCTCGGCAATACAATCTGTGGAGGCTGGGCTCTCTTGGAAAGCGGGAGACCCAGGTCTAAGAAGTACCTTTACGCCACATCAGAGGCTGCGAAGTACTTCGTAAGTACAAGATGTCCAATTTCGTCCTGCTGCTCGTCAGACCCTCTTCGTACATGTGGCACCTAATACCCATGTGATCCGTCCAGTCTCGACCACCGTGCGCTAGATATCCAACGGCGCGAAGTTAAGACATCGTGATTGATGAGGTCGTGATATTTGGCAGCCATGCGAAAGTACACTGATAGTCCAATGCACTAATAATGATGCCTCCATAGAGAGCCCTTCGCCCCCACAAAAGTGCGACGGATGGCATGAGAACTTGGGCCTAGATACCCACCACACGTGGAGAGAGGTTGCGGTGCCCGTCTCAGTGGTAATCCTCGAGCGGGCTATTTGTGCTTTGTAGGATTATTAGTTTATCTCGCAGGATTAATACTTTGTCGCCGGAAATGGGACACCCTGGCGCGAGCACAGGTAATGCACTAGCGACCTGAACCTGAACCTAAACCTAGAACGTTTTGTTATCTCAGCGTGGAACTATGATATTTTTTCCTCGTGTCTGAGGTACTCGTGTACATTCAACTGCTCAAATGTGATGTATTACCTGCTCACCCGCTACAGGTACCCATGGTCTCAAGCCAAAGTGCAGAATCGCAATGAGACCCCAGCCCAATCGAAGGGAACCAGGGGAGGAGAAAAAAAATAAACAGGAAGCGATCGCATGAAGCTCTCGTTATACTTAGGTCTCCATACGTGCTCCATGAGGAAAATTGGTTACACCCAAGCCGGGCCGCGGTTGACAAAGAGAAAAAGGAATGCTCGAGCTGAGGGAGAATACCGACACCCCAGTCGTATCATCCACTTCGAAGCAACTTATTGATATGATGAGAACAGAACACCTTCCACGGTCGTGTCAACCTGGCGAGTACCGCACTCGGAGCCGACTGTATTTCGTACACGACTTCGTCGTGGAGGTCCAGGATGCTCGTACAGTGCAAATACACTGTGGTACCAGGCCTGATTTGGTTGAAAACGAGTACTTTTGCCCTCGTCTGGCATAACATCAAGGATGAGCACGCTCCCATGTACCAAAGTACACCGTGTGGCAGCACTTTGTCGCGTCCCTTCATCCTTCGGTCCTCGCATTGCAGTCCTCCCGCTAAAGTCAAGTCTCCATTTCCCCTCCCCCCTTCCCCCGCCTCGCACCATTTATTCCCTCTTCGACTGTCCGTTAGTCTTGGTTGGCCCGAGGCCCACATTAAGGGCATGTCCCCACATTTCACTATCCTCTTTTAATCAGGCAATGGTTCCTCCTTTCTCAACTGAGGATCAAAAACGTGGACGAAAAAGAAAAGAAGCGAAATCATTCCCAAAAAGTATCTGACAGACAACTTCCAAGCTCCAACTATCGAGAGCTTTGTTACACAGCCAAACGAGTCCTTGTTTCTTTCAAGAGGAACATTGACACTTTTGACAGACCTCGAGAGAATCCCCAATCACCCCAAGCCTTCATCGCCCTGCTCAAACAAGGAAGGAGGACGACCCGAGTGCATCCAGGCAAGAACGACCCAGCTGGACGACGTACAGTAGGTATTGCCCAATTGCATCAATCTTTTTTTCCCTCTTCCCCTACCATTGCACTAGCACACTGTCTCTCTCAGTCCTCTTCCCTTTTCCTCCCTTTTTTACTTGCCCAACTCTGCCTCCACCACTACCACTCTCACATCAGCAGAAGAGCAGAGAGCCCTTGTTAAGGTCCTTTGACGCCTGGACCTCAAATTCACTGCTGGTCCCTCTGTGTATCCACTTTTTTTTTCCATCACACATCAATTGACCCATGCTTATCCTCATCCTCACACTATGCACCTCTTCTCTGACTGCTATTAGCCACCACACACCCACCAACCCCAGCCTACAAGGGTAGTTAGGTACCTAGGTAAATGTGCATCTGCTTTTTTCGCACTCTCATTTGTCCCCTCCCCCCCACCTTCTTGCCCGTGGTATGAATTGAGCAAGTGGCACTGACCAAAGCTTTCTCCCACACCAGACTCCGTTATAGCCAACGGTGCAATACTTCTGTACCATAACCTGAACCTACCCTCCTGAATTCGCCCACGTCGCGTGTTCTTGGACGGTAGCCCATTGTCACACACCCCCAAGCAGAAGCAGAAGGTAAGTCAAACTCTCTTTTTTCACTGCGAAGGCAACCCCTAAAAAGGCCCGTCATCATCCATCAAATCAGCCTATCCACTTGGCTTGGTGTCCACTCCCCGTTCACACCCCCCGATCAAGCACAAGCGCATTCCAGAGTCCAACTCCGCACCAGCACCAAACGGAAGGGGGGATAAGATCTAACATAGCAGAATAGAATTTAACCTGAAATTCCTCGCTTCCTTCCGTCGGTCGGCACCAGACTCGATCCAGTCAGCGAGGGACCCAACCAGGTTTCTGCGACAAAAAGGTAATGACAGCCTCTCCGCTCCTCACCAGATCCAGTATAGGTCCATCGGCACCACGCTCAAAACAGCATATCCACCATATCTTTACCTTTTTGGATCTGTATCACCATCTAATTCGATTGAGTACCAAACATAGAATAATCAAAAATGGGCGACATCACCGACCAACACGAGCAGACCTCTCCTACCGACGTCGCCGAATCGCACTCGGTAGGAAACGGCAATTCCGCCCCGAACGAGTCTCGCGGTATCAAGCGTCAGCGCGGCAGCGCCGACGACGACGAGGATGAGGATGAGAAGGGCGGACGCGAGCGACGTAAGATTGAGATTAAGTTCATCAGCGATAAGTCGCGTCGCCACATTACCTTCTCGAAGCGAAAGGCCGGTATCATGAAGAAGGTAAGTCGGCAACCCACCCCAGACGCGGCATTCTGGGGCACACCACGCTCTTGGGACCTCGCGCATCTTAGCTGGTCGCGCCCTCGGGTCGGACCACGACGTGTCTCCAGTTCTCCTGTCGCTCTATGAGTTGGGCTAACAAGGCGGCTTGCGATAGGCTTATGAGCTTTCTGTTCTCACTGGCACGCAAGTTCTTCTCCTCGTCGTATCAGAGACCGGCTTAGTGTACACCTTCACGACACCAAAGCTCCAACCCCTTGTTACGAAGGCCGAGGGCAAGAACCTCATCCAGGTACGTATTCTCCCGGCGGTTCATCTCTCTCCTGTCAACTTCGTGTCCTCTTGTCAAATTTCCTTCTCGGGCGACGCGCCAACTGATGGATAATGTTATCTAGGCATGCCTCAACGCCCCCGAGCCAACTCCCGGCAACGAGAACGGTGTCGACGACGCGAATCAGGTCGAGTCGCCCGAAGAGCCCACCGGTCAGCACCTCCCTCCCCAACAGCAACGACCCGGAATGCCTGGAGGCCACCACTTGCCTCCCAATTATATGCCCGCCGCCGTCCCGATGGACCCGATGGCCTATCAAGGTTATGTCCAGAGAGGTGGTCCGCCCGCGCCTTACGGTATGCCGCCCCAGCCAGGCATGCCGCAGCATACGGGCCATCAATCGTGATGAACGGCTTTCCCTTCCGCGACCTTTTCCGTTGCTCGCTGATACCCTGCATTCAAAATGCATTCCTGAGACGTGGTAAGGTGGTTGGGAGGCGAAAACCGGATATTAATTCCTTAGGGTTCTCTGGCGGTTTGGCGTTGTGAGGTACGGATGTTACGGCCTTGCCCTACCTTCTCGAATATGGGACATCCACGCTTTTCTTTTTTTTTCCCTTGTCTTTGTCTTTCTTTTCTTCATTTGCATTTGGAGGAACTACAGCCTCTGTTGTCTTCTCCTGGCCATCGACTTTGTGAGAAGAGGATGCCGATGCCAACCATGACTGGTGCGAAATGTTTGCACTCAGCAGACTACATCACCATGTACCTTGGACGGGATGAAGAGGAGGGCAGGTAGTTTTAGGAGGACAAACATTTTTGCAATGATGGATTGCAACGAGGCAATTACTACGTGTATCACAGAAGGCTGTGCATGTCCAGCAGGACCCCGTCCACGGTAAGGGCAAGATGGGAGGCGACTGCTTTGATGTGGCACATTCTAAAATATTCCCCGTGGACTTTCATCCTCTCAGCATGCTCTGTTCTTTTGCTTCCAGCCCTGATTTTCTTTAGAGCAGTTCTGCTCATGTTAACACCCTTCACATCTCATTTACCCAGTTATCCTGCAGAGGATTGGCTTTTTTTTCCTCTTTTCCCCCCTTTTTCCCTGACCTTCCTGGTGGCCATGTCATTTTCTTTTTCTCATCTTGATTTTGGAGGCGATAAACAGTATGAGGATAAGGTTTTCCGTGGGGCCTCGTTTGAAATGGACTTCAGCCGACTCTTCATGAGCTCTCGAGCAAAAATGTCCATCTTTGCCTGTTACAAGTAGCATCGTCACACCTCCCAGTTCACAATACCCCATAACGCTAACCCAACTACGACTACAAGCTCTAATCTACTTACTTTTTCCTGCCATATCCTTTTTTGCGATGGCTATGTCTTCCCCAACTGCTTCTCTTGTTCTTGTTATACCCAGAACCTCAAAACCTGCACAAGAATACGAAACCACCTCCCATTATCTGCCTAGATCCTAACCACACTTCGAAAATGTGTTTTCTTATCTGGTATTCTGTCTCTCCGGGTTTTATGATCAGGATCGTGGCGGCGATGTCATTCTTGCCTTCTTTGCCCAGATATGGAGAGGTGTCATGAAGCGTGGATCGTGAGATATGAGTTCAATGGCCATGTACAGTAGTGTTTCTATTTCACCCTAGCCCTTCTTTTGTTATGTTTCCATGCCCACTGTGTCTCTTGTATGTATATGCGCAGTCATCGTCATCACCTCAAGACTATGGAAAAGCAGCTCGACCTCCTCTTCGTGAATATGAAGTCCGCGGTATGCCGACGTCCTCCCACGAACGCCATGCGTCATGCGTAGAATAAGCCGAATTATGGGCCGCGTGGGAAACCACGTCCGTACAAACCTGTTCTCAAGGACATTTTCTTTCCTTACCAGGTCCTCGACAATATATGATACTATGCTAACTACAAGACGCTTATCCGCTCCCAGGAAAACGTGGCATGGTAAAATCCAAGAAAGGCAGGATGTGCTCGTCGGCGAGAAATATGGTATGGGGTTTATATTCCTGCGATATCCTTCTTTGGAAGTGCATTATGCTTTACGCTGGCCGAGGTGGTGATGAACCGTGACTACACCTATAGAACTATAGAAACTGCCTTGGGTCTCCAAGCCCAGGTACGAGGAGCATCCAAGAAAGAATGCTGCTCACACATGCATGTAGCCTCACCTAGGCACTACCAGTCAAGACACTAGCACCCGCGTAAAAGAGGGTACCGGGGAGAAAACAGGGATCAATTCGAAAGGTGCGACAGAATCTTGTCGAACCATAAAAACGAGGTCGAGTATCGAGATGCCACCTTCGAACGGGTGCTTTGCTTTTAGTGATATATCTGGGGCGTGGACCCTATGCCATGGCACCGTTAATATTTCAACCAACTTCCCCATGGAGTGTCCGTTTCCAGTCTCCATAGATGGGCTCCCCTTTGAGACTGGCCAAATTGTCTCCAAGACAAGACTCCTTGCCTTCAAAAGGGTGGAAAAGTGGTCAGCTACCCCAGAGAATGTCGGAGATCTTGAAACTCCTCAACTTGCATATTGCCCTGTCACCATCGAGGTCTCTAGAGTCTGGTGTTGCGTCTCTAGCACAAGCTGTTTATCCCTAACCCTTGCCAATCGACAGTGCGGGACGACCCAAAGCCGGAGATATCTGACGACATGGCGCGGGAAGCCAAGAAGGCATGCCATAGCCAGCCGTATCAGCTAAGAGGCGTCCCCATCTACCAATTACTTCAAAGAAGCGAGAGCCTCTGTCTCCGCGGCAAAAGGATGCGTTTCTCCATGCTGCCCTTTAGTTTTTTTTCGTGGCTTCATGCTGCTCGCGTTACTCCTACACCCTCGTTTTCTCGAAACCGTCTCTAGGAGGCACATGGCTGATATCTTTAGGCGAGGGTGGCCCGGGTGAAGAGCTGACGGGAGATTTAGGAGAGGCAATGGGTAGTATTCTGTCCTCGTGATTGCCTCTGTCTATGCCGGGTGTGTTTGGGAGGGAGACTAGCTATTTATCAGGTTTGGTTCGAGACAGAAAAAGCCGGCGCATCACGGGAAGCAAGGAGGGGAACAAGGGCATAAAAAGACATAGATTCTTAAACCATGAGCGCAGAACAGAACAGGTTGGATGGCGGCCTTGTCGATTGGGTACCAGTATTCTTCAAACCAGCATTCAAGGCGAGAAGCCACTCGGCTCCCAACTTTCCACCAGGCGAATGAATCATTCATCAATCGACCCGAATGAGAAGCACATAATTCTTCTAGAAGCCCTTGCCCCTCCCATAATCCTCCACGAGACGCCTCTTGGCTGAAGTCGTCATACTCCGTCCACATGAGGGTTAGCGGATCCACCCCTCAGGCCGTCGCCTAAATGGCGGATCGACAGAGCCTCAATTCTCTGCCCGTCCGCCCCATGTATGGCCCCAGATCCAACATTTCGGGTCGGGAAAGGCGTCGGCCGCTGGGCGGGAAGGAGGAGGCATATATGGACGTTAAGGATGTGGAATGCAGATTAGATCTAAGTACATTGTAGCGAAGCGGCAGCCAGGGGAGGTGCGCACTCTCTTTCTGTTCGTGGCGTCGGCCGCAAGGACACCCTCCAGCGGGCGGTTAAAAGAGGTCTGCATTTGATGATACAGGACCAGCATGAAAAAGGATTTGAGCAAGACACAGTCTTTGGATTCTAGGCTAATATCCCCAAAAAGGCAAAAGGCAAGATAAGGCTCTTGCAGCAATTACTCGCTTCAGAAAGGGCAAGTCAACTTTATTAGCTATCTTTAGCCCTATCTAGCAACACATTTGATCCAGTGTCGCTCCCTGCTTGGTAGTTAACCACGGAGGCTTGGCCGTCTTTCTCGGTTCACAGCGTTCATGATAATTGGATCAGGAAGCTGCGATTGAACGACCTCGGATTGAGGTCAGAGCGACCATTTTGATTATCTAAGCTCAATGGAACCCCGTTTCTAGTTTGAGCTTGGTTTCGTCGGCCAACATGCGCTAACTGCGCGTATTTGAGCAGGTTTTCGGGGTGGATGGATGTACCGGTACATTATGACACCATGAACCAAAAAAACTTACCTTTGGGAAGGAGAGGTTGATAGGATCAATGGCAGGAGCACCTCACAACAAGAGCGAGACGAGAGAGGCACGAGAGAAGGAAAGAGCAAGAGAAAGAGAGCAGAAGAAACATAGCAGTTCCTCAAATTCAAGAGAAAATACGTGTTCGCCAAAATTCATGTAACAATACCATTCGAGAGGCTCTGCTCGCAATTCCCAACCCAAGAAACGCCGTCACCTGTAGGATTCCGAAACTTCCAGTCCAAGCCGATGTCCTCCTTCATACCTGACCCTACCAGCAGAGGTCGCAAAAAGAGGGAAGGGGAAAAAGGCCCCAAGACGTGTGAAGAAAACAAAAAGAGAAATCAGATCTATGAGAAGGCAAAATGCATTGTCACAACCCGAAGAGATGAGGAGGGCATCCTCTTAGAATCTCCTTAGTGCTCGGTCGAGGGAGTGTATCTGCCAACGGCCAAACTGCCAATAAAGACGCCGCCGAGAACAGAGAGGAAGTAGCCAACATTCATAGACATGACAGCAAGCATACTGGAGAATCCGATCCGTTAGCCAGAGTCCCCGCTGTGCTTTCAGAGGCATTCCAAAGTCCTGGTCAGTAGAACAGATGGTGTCGCAACTCACAGAAGATAACCAACACCGGCAATAACAACATCCATCAGCGCTCGCAAAGGATCAACAGTAAACCTCCACGGCCGAGCGTTACCAACCCTCGACCTCGCAACAACCCTGACGTTCTCCTCCACGCCGTTGGCAGACAGAACCATATCCTTAGCCTCGGGATCATGGACGAGCCGCTCGCTAAACGACTGCTTGCCAGCGACCACAATATACCGCCGCGCCATCTCCGCGTCCAACCACCTCTGCTCCATGATGGCCTTGGCGGCCAAAAGACCTCGGAAGATGGCCGCGAAGCAGATGAGGAAGATGCAAGTGCCCGCGTAGGTTCCCGCGGACGTCGGAGTCCACGCGTTGCTGTAGAGGGGCGTGTCCATGCTGTTGAAGAAGATGGACATCATGCTATGCCCCGATTCCGTTGAGGAACCGTGCGATGAATGGTCCATGTCCATGATGCCGGTGGCGGCGGATGTTACACCGGCAGTACTGTGGGAATGGTCAGCGGCGTCGTGTCTTCTCTCCATTTCGAACCGGCGTTGGAGCGATGCAAGGTTGAAAAGATGACTTTCAAAAGGTTCGAACTTGGAATGCAAAAAAGGGAGTCGGGAATCAGGAACAGCCCCAGGGACGTGGAGATCTCAGATCTCGAATCACAGTCAAAGGGAACAATGGAAATCGAAATGAGGACGGGAAAAAGGGTGAACTCGTGAAAAAAAAAAAAAAAAAAAGGCTCTCCAGTTACTCCAGAAACAATTTCGAGGAACCGTACCTGCGGAACAACAAAAATCCAGAACTTCCACGATATATCCCTTTCCTTCCGGCCGCCGCTCACGAACGAGGGAGCCGCTCCAAGATATCGATATTTGATATTCTCCGGTGAGCAAGTTTTCTCGGCGAATTGTGCGCCAATCTTCTCTCGAGCTCCTTATCTTGTTTCCGTCTCAGATGCAGCCCTGTCGGCGCAATCGTCGCAGATCTCCAACTTAAAGTATTACCGAAACAATCGAATACCGGGATTAATAGCCAGAAAAGCATGGACGGGTCGGAAAAGGTCTGATGTATTTAATGCAGAGACGTTGAATGGGGCGGCGATCGCTTCTTTTTAAAACACAATTCCCATCATCACTGATACCCCCACAGACTATTTACTACGAAGGAAGTGTCTTTGCTAGAGCGGCGGGGTGGTGCGGCATCGCGGGCGGAGGTACCTTGGTGAGCAAGTATTGCTAACTGATTCCGGCTAGTCAAGGTGGTATGTCTGTTAGCTACTACCATTGCCGTGGGTTTCCCGTCCCCCCTTGATTGTGGGAGAGGCGACGCTGATTCGTCCACGACCACATCCTTGAACGAGCACATTTCTCCGGGGTACTGGTACTTTCTGCGCTGACCCAGAGCATTTTGGAGTTGTCTCGTCTTTCACCACCTGGATGGATTCGAGAATCCCTTCGGAGCGGGAGGTTTCCGAATTTTATCTTCGATCCAATCGCATGTAAAGTGTTTCTTTTCTTGGGGACAGGTGGTACTGCATGCGCGATAGATGAGCTTGGAACTTGCTCAAGGGGTTGGGACAACCTGTGCGTCGGGTTGGTCCGATTGCGATGGTATATCGATTGATGGTTCATGAATCGCCAAGCCAGTCGAGACACTGCTTGCATCAGGGAAAGAAACAGCCCGATTCTCAGCTCCGACTTCACATAATTTTGCGAAAACGAAGATGTAAACACAGTGGGCAGGATGTCGCAAAAAAAAGGGACGCTGCTGCGCGTGGGTGGCAGCATCATTGACCCATATTTTTACCTCTGGAGATCACGAGCTGGGGGAGAGACGAGATTGAAGCCTCATCATCCCCTCACTCCGTCTTTGCAGCAGGGTCTCTCGCCAGGCAGCCGGGCCTCCATCAGCAACTGAGATTTTTTCTTCCGTCTGATCCTTCTGGCTTGATGGGAGTTTACTCCTTCAAGAACCGGTGCTAGCGGCTTCGATTCGACCAGAGACAGCACATCATATCCCCAGAAAAAAGTTGAGCCGGATCATAGTCTTATAAACCTTGACACAACTCCTGCAGGCCTAGTCATGACTGTCAGCAGTGTTCCACAATGCTAAGGAGTGATCAACATACAATCATGTTCAACACAATAGTTGAAGGTGATCGTGGAAAGCTCATGGCCATGCAGAGACGAAAAAAATTGGGCCCCAGCTATGGTTAAATGCTAACCGGGATCGTGACTAGGATCCCCTGAAGTCGCATGCTCTCGGTCAACTCTCGACTCTTGAGTTATCCTCTTTCGCAGGGCCGTTGAAGTCTCCTTATAGCATGGTAGACTCACTTGGGGCAGGAAGGCCCATTCTCTCGCCCATTTCTCCGCCTACCCATTGGCATATCATTCAGTGGATATTAATTGGGCGTGCCGGGATGTGACCCGGCGTATATTATAGGCACACCATACAAGACCCCTGCAGGTATCCCGATTCGGCGATTCAGAAAATCCGAAGAGTCTTAACTCGACGTCAAATGAACCTATGATGGACTCTTAATCCCAACAAACACTCCTATTTCTTTTGGCCATCCGTTCTTTTCACCTAGGGAACCATTTCCCTCGGGAACGGACTAAACATGCACGAAGGAGTGCATTATTGACTACGCGGCTCTTTACGGCAGTATTGTGTCCAACAGGAACATTTTATCGACGGCAATGTTGGCCAATTCGGAAAGAAATATTGATTATGAGGTGTCGCTCACTTCCCCTTTGGTGAAAGCTGAGGAGGGGGCGTGTATTGGCGGTGGAGTCGACCATCCTGTCCCGGTTGTTGGGGTCGCACACACATGAGCATCAGCAATCAGTGGTCGATGCAGTTCAGGGATGATTGCCGGATATAGATGATTTCGTCGACTGGGGCGGGAAAACCGAGTAAAAATACTCAAAATTGGGAGGAGGTTCCCTTCGGTGTCATATCTCAGGCCAGCCTCTGTCCCCGGGAACTACGCTCAGTGGGTAGAGTCGGCGCACCCCTTTAAGCCATTGTCTTAGACAAAGGCCGAGTTTGCTGCCGTGATGGCGGGCCGACGACGTTTTCTTCGTCGAACGAAAACCGGCATGCATCCCAAAGAGGGTCAGTTACATAGGTCTAGGCCAATGCGGCCTGCGCTCGCAGCGGCGGATGTCTCCTCTAACATGCAGTCAGAGTTCGTTACTAGCACACACCCTCTTCGCATCATTCCGGACCAGTTGCTCCTCCTCTCCCTCGTCCCAAATATCGGGCCGTTGGTAATATGACGGTGATGATTAGGGGCAGTCCAATCACGCGGATAGGACCCATCCTGGCTAGAATACTTACTTTGTACGGTTGAGAAAAGAAACACAAAAAGCAAGAGCCTTCTTGTCCATGTCGTCGAACTTTTTGGTTACACGTGGAGTAACCTCTGTGAGGAGGGGAGATTGCGAAGGTGAGCTTCGCCGATTACTCTTGCTTTCTCCGCGTGTACGAGACATGGCGATGTGGAGGATAGAAAATTATCCTCTCGGAACCCGCGATGTTTCGGCCATTTGGCATTCTCTTTGAGTAGGGGCGGGAAGATGGTGATCAGGAACCCGAGTTTTTAAAAGGCGGAGAGGGACGACCATGTTCGTTCGTTAATGGCGAACTCCACGGCTGCTCCGCCATGACTATTAATGACGCCGCCGAAAACGGTGTCTGGCAACCCCCCAATGATATCGCCTGGCCGCTTTTCGTGTGCACGCCCCGCCCCCTTTTCAACCCAGCTAGAACCGTCAATTGATCCTTCTCAGCGGAGGTGACCCCAATGTCACCGGCAGTTTGACCCCCTCTGGAAGGACGACCTAACTGCTGGTGATGAGTGAGGGGAATGTCTTCGATAAGCTGAGTTGCCCTCCCCCTTTGCTCTTCATCGTCCTTCCTCTCTTTCCAATTGGCGGACCGAGCATACATCATCTGTCTCTCCTTCCCAAAAGACCTCTGTAGGCGAAGCAAACCCACGAAAAAGAAAAGAAGAGAAGGGGGAAAAGCCTCCAATCGAAAACCGCGCTTCCCGGGGAAGGATGTGACTGGTGAGTTCGAAAAGGATAGGACAGGGAGGGGCGCACAAGCTGACATCGAGGTGGTCGAACGGCTGCTCGGTCCAGCTCCAACCCCCCCCCCCTTCAACCCTTTTTGGGAGAGCCACAAACGGGTATGGCGTCTGTCTCCCCCTCCGGTCCATTCTCTCGTAATTGACACGCAAAAGCCTCGTTCCCCTCCCCCCTTTTCCCTAGGGGGAACAAAGAGAGGTGCTGACGCCCACTCGCTCACGATCGAGAATTGTCCCTGCCAGGTTTGCTGGGCTTGTCCAACGCCCGAGACAAACTACGCCCGCATACATTGTTCACACCCCCACTTCCTGCGAGGAAAGTTATCCTGTTTGCTTTACCGGGAAGTGAAATGTGAGTTGGAGGAAGCGGTGTCAGTCTGTCTTGACCCTGGGACGTAACAATGGAAGCCTTTCCTGATGCTGAATGGCTTTTACTTTCTATTCTCTACCACAGACGTACATCTGTTAGCTGGACCTGTCCACCCACCCATCTCATCCTTTCGATCCTGCTGCGTTGCAACAACATTGTGAACTTGTCATCTTTTTCTGGATGGGGGTATATCTAATAAAAACAAAGTTAACTGAAGAGACGAACCATTTCGTCGTCTCCGTCGATCCCTTGCTGCCCCTCCCACTCGCCTCCCACGCGACCATCTACCTCCTCAAAAGCTAATGATGCCACGGCTCATCTGATAGCAGCACAGTTCCAGCAATTTACAGTTTCCAGGGATGCCGGCCACGCAATGGCGCCCCCTAGAACGCAAAACATAAGAGACTCTTCAAAATTTAAAACATAAAATGTGGGAAAATTGTTCCTCGATCACGATTCCTAGCGTTTTAGAGCGACCAAGGAGAAAATAAAAGAAACGCCTCCAATCCCAACCCGGAAGTGGCGTCCTTAGTCCAAGAAGTCGCAAGGGAAGGCCGAAAACGTTCAAAACACATTTTGCTAAGTTATAGATTAGAACAAATTATGTGTACTTTGCGCCTCTCGATTTAGGGAGGGGGGTTTTGAAACAGTTGCAAGCCATCTCTTCTTTCCCCAAGTTCGTTTCTCTCGTGGAGAAAGCCACTTCCACGACGACTCTCGATGGAAGCTGGCACTTGGAGGCCGAGGACAAGAACCCCTTGCCACTGGCGTTTCGCTTTGTTTCTTTCCTGTCGCTTACACACGTACGCTAGCTATCGTAGACTTTTCTACAGCAGTATCAAGACCCATAATCTCTGCCGCTAATCTAGGGCTTTGCCACTGGCAAAGGTCTCAGCGTCGCTGGAAGACCGATAGACAAAGTAGGAAGGGAAGCCGGCCGACGGCAGGCTTCCGGCGAACGCCTCCTCCCCCCCGCGGAGTCACATCATTCAACA